GACCACCTCCAGGGCAGCCCCTTCCAATGCCTGACCACCTTTTCCAGGCAGAAATTCCTCCTGATATTCCACCTTATATCGGGCATTAACCAGCTGCACCTTCACCACGCAGCGGTTGGGACACAATCAAACCTCTCCTGCCTTTCTGCTCACGAAGCAGAGATATTAAATCCCTTTAATAATAAGATTTTCAGCAGGTTTTTGTTGCCGTTGCTGCCAGGCTTCTGGAGCCTGTAGCCAGATCCAAGTGGCTCTGTCGGGGCAGACACCCAGGTAAACTCTTAAATTGCATCCTGCCTTTTGGAACAAGTTCTGACATCACTGCCCCGGTGCAGCCGGGGTTATTCATCTGGGCTAAGCAAATTAAAAGGTTCTGCTTTGCCTCTCCCCCTCGCTTTGCTTTCATACTGTCAGTGTAATTGAGGCTGCTGCTGCTTCCCGGCTCCGGGAGGGGGGAATTGCATCCAGAGGCAGCGTGTGGTGCCGCACGGGAGCCATGGCGGAGGCGAGGGGAGGATGGAATCCGCGGTTAACTAATGTGCACCTGCTGAGGAGCTGCTCCAGCGGGGCCTGCGGGGGCTGGACAGGGGCCAAGGCCTCCAGACAGCTCGGGTTTGATCCCCTGGAAATCGTGGAATGTTTCCCAGGAGGCTTAAAACACCTTTCAGTTGGCAGCGAGGAGGAGGGGGCCGTGCTGGACGTGGGGGGAGAGCCCAGAGAGCTCGTGGATCCCCCCACCCCATTCCTGGAGTGTCCAAGGCCAGGTTGGATGGACCTTGGAGCAACCTGGGCTAGTGGAAGATGGTTCTGCCCGTGGGGGGTGGGACTGGGTGGGCTTTAAGGTCAATTAGTCAAATAGAGGTTACACTCCTGGGCTTTTCCTACTCAAACCGAAAGAGAGTAGGATTAGGTGGGATATTGGGAAGGAATTCCTCCCTGGGAGGGTGGGCAGGCCCTGGCACAGGTTGCCCCAGAGAAGCTGTGGCTGCCCCTGGATCCCTGGAAGTGTCCCAGGCCAGCTCGGAGCAACCTGGGCTGGTGGAAGGTGGGATGGTCCCCCCACGGCAGGGATGGGACTGGATGTGCTTTAAAATCCCTTCCATCACAAACCATTCCACGGCCCCTTCCCGTGCTCTGTGATGATTCTCCAACCAGCCTTTCAGCACGTCCAGAGAGTGGAGCCACGAGGGGAGGGAGGGAGGGGTGGGTGTGGACGTGGGGGACAAAGTGTCACCAGAGCGGGAGGAGGGCGGGGAGGGGGCAGGGGAGGGTTGGGGAGGGAGCAGGGGAGGGTGGTTTGCTGGGAGGAGCAGGGGTTGTTTTAGGAGGGAGCAGGGGATGGTTCAGGAGGAGCAGGGGTTTGTTCAGGAGGAGAAGGGGATGGTTCAGAAGGAGCAGGGTTTGGTTCAGGAGGAGCAGGGTTTGGTTCAGGAGGAGCAGGGGTTGGTTTAGGAGGAGCAGGGGTTTGTTCAGGAGGAGCAGGGGTTGGTTCAGGAGGAGCAGGGGTTTGTTCAGGAGGAGCAGGGGTTTGTTCAGGAGGAGCAGGGGATGGTTCAGGAGGAGCAGGGGTTTGTTCAGGAGGAGCAGGGGATGGTTCAGGAGGAGCAGGGGTTTGTTTCAGGAGGAGAAGAGGTTTGTTCAGGAGAAGGGGTTTGTTCAGAAGGAGCAGGGGATGGTTCAGGAGGAGCAGGGGATGGTTCAGGAGGAGCAGGGGTTTGTTCAGGAGGAGAAGGGGTTTGTTCAGGAGGAGCAGGGGTTTGTTCAGGAGGAGCAGGGGTTTGTTCAGGAGGAGAAGGGGTTTGTTCAGGAGAAGTGGTTGGTTTAGGAGGAGCAGGGGATGGTTCAGGAGGAGCAGGGGTTTGTTCAGGAGGAGCAGGGGCTGGTTCAGGAGGAGCAGGGGCTGGTTCAGGAGGAGAAGGGGATGGTTCAGGAGGAGCAGGGGTTTGTTCAGGAGGAGAAGGGGTTTGTTCAGGAGGAGCAGGGGTTTGTTCAGGCAGGAGGAGAAGGGGTTGGTTCAGGAGGAGAAGGGGTTTGTTCAGGAGGAGCAGGGGATGGTTCAGGAGGAGAAGGGGCTGGTTCAGGAGGAGCAGGGGTTTGTTCAGGAGGAGCAGGGGATGGTTCAGGAGGAGCAGGGGATGGTTCAGGAGGAGAAGGGGATGGTTCAGGAGGAGCAGGGGCTGGTTCAGGAGGAGCAGGGGCTGGTTCAGGAGGAGCAGGGGTTTGTTCAGGAGGAGCAGGGTTTGGTTCAGAAGGAGCAGGGGCTGGTTCAGGAGGAGCAGGGGCTGGTTCAGGAGGAGCAGGGGTTTGTTCAGGAGGAGCAGGGGCTGGTGATGTGGGAGGAGCAGGGACTGGTGTTCTGGGAGGAGCAGCCGTGCCGGGCCGGGCCAGCGGAGCGTTTCTAACCCTCTCCCGCCGAGGTGCAGTTGCTCACGTCCCTCCGGAGCGCAGCGAATGGAGGGGTCCTGGCCGGGGAAGGGGGGCTGAAAGGTGGGCAGGGATCCAGTTACACAATTGCCCTCGCAGCATTCCCAGCCAGGGAGCAGCTGAGCAGAGAGCTGGGAGGGGGGGAGGAGTTATCGACTTTGGGTCCACTCCCTTCTCTTTTGCTTCTTTTCTTCTCCCCCTCTATTATTTTTTTTTTTTTATTGGGGTTGGATAAAAATCTTAACACCTTGGGAATAGCCTAACAGTGGTACAATAGCCTGGGCTGTGCAATTTAATAGGGTCTCCTGAATGGGAGTGGAAAGAAGGGGATGATTCTCTCAGGGCTAACAGTGCCTTTCTTTTTTCTCTTTCCACGAATCAGCCAGGAAAAAAAAACAAACCTTCAGCGTTTAACCTGTAAGGGAAAAGTCTTCCAGCAGCTTATGCTGAGCTTTTAGTCACAAATAGCGAAACTTCTTATTTTTATTTTTATTTTTGGGGTTTGGGCGTTTTTTTCTCACCTGGGGAGCTCTCTGTGCTATAGACCAGCAGACTACCTGAGAGCAGGGGCAAGGAAGATTTGGGGGGAAAACCTTATCCCATAATGCCTGTTCTTGTATCCCTAAACAGTCTTAAAGAATGGGCAAGCCATGATCTTTGGGCAGTCCTGATCCTTGTGCTAGTTGTTTCTTTTCCCCTTTAAAATCAGGTACAGGAGAGAAGCCAAACTGCTCTGGCATCCAGCTCCTACAGCGAGGGCAGGAGGGAAGTTTCTGGGGTATTTTACAGCCCTTGTTTCCTTCAGGATGCAAAATAAATAATGCAAGTACTCTCTGGAACCAAAGGACTCTGATGTCTCAGGCAGAAATTTGCTTGTTCAAGGCTCCTGCCAAATTTGACAGCGACTCAGCGTGAGCTCCTGCACTCCTGAAATAATTTTAAAGTCGCTGTTTTAGAGCAGTAATAAAAGTTCTGCTTCCACGGGGTCTTTTTTAGAGGTTCAATAAAGTTTTCCTGGGGTTCTCCCGTTTTCCTGTGTCCTGATCCAGTAGTGTATCACACAGTGCCATGTCACCAAACTCAGCCTCATCTTGCAGCTGATCTGCTCTTAGAGCTGTTTGTAATTAAAACCTGCAGCAGGTACAGCTCCTAAAGGAGTAAATCAGCCCTGGAATAACGATGGAAAGAATAGGAAATGCCCTGGGATAACTGGAGTATCTGCTTGGCCCTGATTTTTCCCTGCACTTGGACTCCCAGCTGGGTTGCATACGTGCTCAGAGGGCCAGGACAACCTGTTTTGCTTTGCAAAACTCCTCGCAGTTCAGCTGGAAACATTAAAAAAGACAAGGAGGAATGTTCACCTTGGGGGTGAAGGGGTGGAGGAATCAGGCTTGGAGTTTGCAATTCAATTGTGTGGAAAATGCAACGCTTCCCCTCCAAATAGGACTTGGATGGAGCCGTGATTCATCCCCCATTGAAGTCCATGCCAGAGTTGCTTTTTGATTTAATCACAATCAAACCCTGTGGGATTATTCTCACTTGCAAACTGGACTGGATCTATTAAGTAGAGAAACCACAACTCTTTGCGGGGCTGCTGCTGCTGCTTTTTCTTTAATTTTTTTTTTTTATTATTATTATTATTTTTCTTTTCATTTAATGAATTTGGCTCCGCGTCACAAAGCGGAGCCGAAACCCGAAACCCTCCCGTCTCCCAGCTTTCTGACTGTTCTTGGAACATCTGGCACAGCTGTTATTTTGACCCCAAGGCAGGAGCACAACCTCGCTCCTGTTCCTATTCCACTGGAAGCCGACACCCAGCGTGCCAGCGGGAATTGGGGCTGCCCAAGCTAATCCCGTTTTCCAGGGGGAAAAAAAAGGAGATAGGAGCGAGGTAAAGCAGTGACACAGCTCTTGGAGCTCCATGAAGAGCCTCCTCCTGCTTCTCTTTACATCCTTCCACATGGGCTTTGAAATGGAGCTGCCCATAAAGCTGATGGAATTCCCACGGGTTTCACACCTTTGTAGAATCTGTTCATCACATGGAATTTCCGTACGTGGATGGATCCATGGATCTCTTCAAGCTGGGTTTCCCTGCCTGGCACCACGGGCAGGAATATTTTTCCTTCCCCAAAGGAGATCCTGGGGAGAGCAGAGCGAGACCCAAACATGCTCAAGCTCCAATGTCTCCCCCCAATCATCAATACTTGATATCTAAACCTTTTTGGTTTATTCTAAGCTGCAGGAACTTGTAACTTTTTATCTATAAATCTTCTCCACGCATCTTCCCGACTTCCTTTCAGCTCTGAGGTTTAATACCCCTGCTTGTACTTTCATCCCTTAAACACTCAGAGCTTTAAATTGTCTCTGGGATACAGGATAATCAGTTCTCCACTGTGTTAATCCTCATTACGTGCCCATTAAAATGAAGATTAAATCAGGCATTAGGGTGCCTCCTCCCGTTATGAAATCTGAAAAACAGGCTTGAATTGGAGTGGGTTTGGGGGTGGGGGGAGAAAGAAGAAAGGGAAAAGCATCAAACACCTAAAAAAACAAATCGTTCCTTGAGCTTCACCGGGAAGGAATAAAAGCGAGAGCGAGGTGTGAATGCACGATTTAATTCAGGTAACCGCGCAGGTGAGGGGGAGATAAGGAGGCAGCACCCCAGGAATCAGGTTTTGGGCAGGGAGGAGGAGGAGGAGGGGAGGGGGTATTTGCATGTGCCTACGTGAGGTGCAGAGTGTGAGTCCGCGGGCTCAGCACTGCACACACGTGCTCTGGCAGCGGCCAAGGTGATGCCTCCCTCCCCAGCAGCACGAACACACAGGTACGTGTGTGTTCACCTCGGGGAGGAGGGGATGGCGGGGGGGGCTGTTCGAAGGATCCCTGCCAAGCTATCCGGGTGGGAAAAAAAGCTCCTCAACAAGGGCAGGTGCTTTTCTTTCGGGGTGGTGGTGGTGGTGGTGGGGAACATTTAGGAGCGCGCTGTCATTTCCTCGAGCTCAATTATCCATAGGAAGTCCCCCCCCCCTCCTTTCCCCCCTCCTTCTCCTCCCTTTCCCAGCGCTCCTCCAAAGATTAACTTTTCGGTTATTGTTGCTTTGGCAGGTACTTTTTAATTGGCTGGAAAACATCCTTCCTGCGAAAGTTGCAGTTTTCGTGGGGCTTGAATGAGTCCAGTCCTCCCCTGGCTCTGCCCAGCGCCGCCGATTGGCTCCGCAGCCCGGGGGGGACCGATAAGGGCGGCTATAAAAGAGCCCTTGGGCTGCTCCTGGTCCCCCGACGAGCAGGAGCCGGAGGGGCCACACGGATCCTGCGGCACATCCAGCGCATCCCGCACATCCCGAGCTCCGCAGACTCCCCTTTCTCTCTCTCTCTCTCTTTTCCTCCCTCCCTCCCCGTGTCTCTCTGGCTGGGAGCGCGTATCCAGATCCACGTCTTTGCTCGAGCCGGAGTGGGAGAGGAGAGACACACACACACACAGAGCAACCGAAAAAAAAAAAAAAGAAAGAAAAAAACCACCCCAAAAAAACACCCCCCACACACACTTAGCGGAAACTTGTCAGAGAATGCTCCTAAAGTCTGGTTTTCTCCTGCTGCTGGTGATCAGTGCATCCGCATCCTACGAAGCTGAGCAGAATGACTCTGTGAGCCCCAGGAAGCCCAGGGTGGCAGCCCAGAACTCAGGTAACACCCAGCAAGGAGGGCTTGGAGCTGAGCCCTCATGTCTTAAACTGTCTCAGATTGCTCTGCTGATGATTTTTCTTCTTTTTCCTTCTTTTTCCTTTTTTTTAGTTCTTTTCCTTTTTTCTTCTTTTCCCTTTTTTCTTCTTTTCTCCCTTTTTCTCTTTTTCCTTTCCTCCTCCTTTTTCTTTTTTTTTTTTATTTTCCCTTTTATTTTCTTTTCCCTTTTTTCCTTCTTTTTCCTTTTTTTTCCCTTTTCTTCTTTTTTATGTTTTCTCTTTTTTTATGTTTTCCTCTCTTTTTTTCCCTTCCTTTTTTTTTTTTTTCCTTACAAACTTAACGTCTGGCAGGCACGAATATTAATGCGAGGATCTGACAGGAGGATGTTGGTGCAGAGCTGGAGAAGGAATCTCCTTTAGGAGCTGGGGCAGGGAGCCGGTGTGTGAGGATGCAACCCAGCCTCTCTCCTCCTCCTCCAGCTCCTAAATGAGTTCCATGTACTTTTAATTTATTATTATTATTAATAATATTATTATTTTCCCTGCTTGCATGTACCTCTCTCCCCTCTCCAATTGCAGCCCTACTTTGGTGTTAAATCCCTTGCTTTTTAGGAAGTTGATAAAATCCGTGGAAATTGGCCTGAACCATTGTTCTGCCAAACATCTGCCTATTCCAAGAGGAGGAGAGAGAGAGAGAGAGAGCTGCGACTTTGGAGAATGCAGTAACCTAGAAACTGTCCCCTGCTAGCATTTATTTCCCCAAACTGATTGCTATCAGTGAGCTGGGACGATAAAAATACGATTGTGACATTTAACAAACTTGCTTTTACAATGGGGGGAGAGGAAAAAAAAAAAATCGCTGGCAAGTCAGCTCTGGATGTCTCGACTTTGATGCTTAGATAAGTTGGAGACATTGTCTCGAACAATGGGAATTAAAAATCTCTCTTCTACTGTACTGGAAAGATATTAGGGCTCTAATTTGGAGCTCATTAACAGCTGCCTTATTTTAGATCTGCAAGGCTCTGCAGCATTATAGCAGGGTGTTTGCTCGATTTCCTTTTGTATTTGGTTGCTATAGAAACATGGGGTCTCACTCTTGCACCGTGCCTAAAACAATAAAAGCTTAATTCCTCCTAAGTCTGCTGCGAGCAAAGTTATAATTTGAACCTGTGGAAACGTAATTATGGGGGTGACTCGTGCACTGGGGAGGTTGTGAACTGGGGAGAGGATGACTTGACCAAATATTTCTCCCTTCAGGCACGTAGGCAAGAATGAGGAGGGGTTAAATTTTTTATTATTAATATTATTATTATTTTATTTAATATTATTTCTCCTTTTTTTGCTGTTTAAAAAAAAAAAAATCCCAGTTGTAAAGAATCATCTTTAGGCTACAACTTAGGTGTGTTCTCTTCCACCAACCCCTCACTTTTCCCACACCTCAGAGCTCGATGGGTTTGCATTTCTTCCTAAAGAATGTCTGGTAACATGAGCTGCAAAAGTAATGAATATGCCTTGCCCAGACACATAAGGGGACAGATGTTCAGCTTACCAAAAAAGGTTAATCCCTCCTAATTTCAGGGCAATCATGTGGCAATAGTGCTGATTCATTGTTAAAATGCATGGGATCTGCACGGGGAAAAAAAAAAAGCTGGGATGACATGGATACCCTCCTGCTCAGACTAACTGCTGCCTGGAGGATTTGAATTATACATGGTCAGCTCCATTACCTCAACTTTCTCTGCCCAAATGTCCCTTCTCCTCACGAAATCTTCAGCAAAAAATGACCTTTCTTGGCTGTGCTTGCAGCCCACCAGGTCAGGGTTTAGCACCAAGCTGCCTGAGTGAGTCCTTTTCAGTGCTCATAATCGACTCACAGGCTAAAATCTGATTTCTTGGATACCTCAGGCTTTTTAGGGAAGCACAAACGGCATCCCAAGGAGTGCAGATTTCTTGGAATCTTCTTGGCAATCCCCATCACTTCAGTCCTGTTTTCAGATGAGGTTTGTGAGCTAAGCCCCAGGAGAGGATCTGGGCACCTGGTGCTCTTCCTGGGCCCATCCTCATTGCTTCTCCTTCTCCAGAGGGAGTGGGAATGAAGCTGTGAATGAATGCCTGGAATCAGGATTTGGTTGGGGTGGATCTATCCAGCCAAAGACCACCAGAAGTTGCCCCTCTTTTTAACCCATGTGTGAATTGGTAGTTGATATTTTCTGTTCCTCGGTTTGCTGGGTCACATCTTCAGTTCGTGGAATCCTGGAATCGTAGAATCCTGGAATGGTTCAGGTTGGGAGGGACCTTAAAGCTCATCCAGTGCCACAACCTGGGCAGGGACACCTTCCACTAGCCCAGGTTGCTCCAACCTGGCCTTGGACACTTCCAGGGCTGGGGCAGCCACAGCTTCTCCAGGCAACCTCCTCTCCATCTGAGTAAAGAATTTCTTCCCAGTATCTGACCTAATTCTCCTCTCTTTTAGCTCAAAACCCTTCCCCCTTCTCCTACCACATATAAAAATTCACTCTCTCTCTTTTTACAACCCCCTTTTAAGCACTGGAAGGGGCTCTGAGCCTTCCCTTTCCCAGATGGGCACCTTCCCTTCGGCCTCTCCCCACGACCTCTCCCCTCACCCCAGCCCCATTATCTGCTTGTCTGCAGCCTGGCATGACTTTTCCTGGTTCTGGGTGGGTTTTTGGGGCTGGGGAGCTGTGTCCACGTGCTGATGTCCCCGTGGCTCTCCCCACAGCAGAGGTGGTTCGGTGCCTGAACGGAGCCCTCCAGGTGGGCTGCGGCGCCTTCGCCTGCCTGGAGAACTCCACGTGCGACACGGACGGAATGTACGACATCTGCAAGTCCTTCCTCTACAGCGCTGCTAAATTCGACACTCAGGTACTGGGGGCAGGGGCAGGAGCGTCCAGGGGACCAGAATAAACCAGAATAAACCCTCGGGGTAAAACCTCTCCCCACACCCCGGTTCAATAAAGGGCTTTTACAAGTCCTGCTGACACCAGAACCGAGGCTTTAATTCCTCCTTCTAGAGCCGGGCTTTGGGCAGGCTTAACCCTTCCTTTCTTGCAGCCCTTCCTGCTGCTTGGCTGCTCCTCTCAGCCACGGGGTTTTTGGCTCCAGGCACGTCCTCCAAGGGTGTTTTCTCCAGGGCAGTTTCCACACGTCCCCCCCGCTCCGTGTGAGGACTTGGCGAGGAGGGCTCGGTGGGGCGGAGGGTGAAGTTTCCTCTCCGGGAGGAAATAGAAATGTTCTTCTCACAAAATAAGCCTTCTGACCGTGTTGACCTGGCACGGGGCTGGGGTTTGGGTTGGAAGTCTTTGGGGCTGGGAATACACGGCCAGGTCAGCCTCTCCAGGGCTGCAGTCGGAATAAATGGGATGATATTGGAGGGCTGGGGCTCTGCCAAGGGCACTTTTCCTGAGAGTTTTCCTCCTAAAGTGCACACCAGCCCCGTCTTCCCTGTTCTTTTGCTTTCCAGGACAAACTTCAGAGCATCTTGAGTTCTGGTGAACCAGAGGTGTTAAATCTCTGGCATTAAATTGATGGTTAAATCAATCCAACCCCCTCCTGGAAGTGTGGGGGGAGCAGAATTGGCCCCTCTCTGCTCCTGGCACTTCCAGGTCTGTTCATGCAAAGGGGACTCCCTGGAAAGCCCTGGAAATCCCTGGAAAAAAAAAAAAACCACCTTTTTTTTCTCCTGTGCTTGCAGGGAAAAGCTTTTGTGAAGGAAAGCCTGAAGTGCATTGCCAATGGGGTGACGTCCAAGGTGTTCCTGGCCATCCGCAGGTGCTCCACGTTCCAGAGGATGATCTCCGAGGTGCAGGAGGAGTGCTACAGCAAGCTGGACATGTGTGGCATCGCCAAACGGAATCCTGAGGCCATCACTGAGGTGGTGCAGCTCCCAAACCAGTTCTCAAACAGGTATGTGGGGCTGAGAGACAGAAAGGGGGAGAAATGAGCAGGGGCCAAGCTGACTGAATTCCTGCAATCCTAAGGCAGCTCAGCCCAGCCCTGCTCTCTGCCTCTCCAACTCCTTGTCAAGTTTTACCAGCGTTCTCCTGCTCCTCTTTTTGGTGAATACACTTACAAACATCTCCAGAGGAGAATTGTAAAATGAACTGGACATCAAGGCCTGGAGCTTTGTTTAAGTGTTAATTCTTCAGGTTGGAGGGCAGTGGTAACAGTGAACAGGGCTTTTAAATCCCAAACCAGACCCATTCATTCAGCACCCCTGGAATACTGAGCACTTCAGAGAGTAGAAACATGGAATCATGGAATGGTTCGGGTTGGAAGGGGCCTCAAAGCTCATCTCATGTCCCTGGGCAGGGACACCTTCCTCTAGACCAGGTTGCTCAGAGCTCCATCCAACCTTGGCCTTCTCAACCCACTGCAACTTCACTCCCTTCTCCAGATTGCAGCCACCCCATTCCTTGGGTTTTTATGGCACCTGGAAAATGAGTCCCTGCCCTCTGCCTTTCCATGGCACCGTGAAAACCCAGGAAAAGCTGCAGGGAACCAGCAAACATGATCCTCTTGCCCCTTATCCCCGTGGTTCACATTTCTGGGGGTGCTCTGGGCTCCTGAGTGGTCTGGTTTAGGGTTGCCCTCAGCCCTGTTCCCTCTGGCAGCACAGGCTCTCTGCAGGAACGGGCACATCACGGGGCTGGCACCTTGAGGGGAGCACAGAACTGCCCTGTCCCCTCCTGCAAGGACAAGGGACACAGGGAGGAGGCTTCAGGGAGTGCTGCAGTCTGCTCAGTCACGCTGCAGGGGCAGGGATTGCTTCCCCTGAAGCCTGGAACAATCAGTGCTGAGTCTTGTGATGGGGATAAAAGGGATCTTTCGGAGCAGTTTGGAGTAAATACGCTCTGGAACTGGAGAGCAAACAGGGTGAGCTGCAGTGCCAGGCCTTGGCTGGTCGTGGCAAACCCCTCAGCTCCTCTGGGGTGGCTGCTTGGCTTGGCCTGGAAGCACCCCAAGCCTCCAGACCCGTCCTAGGACAGGTGTGCCAGTGATAAACAGATGTTACATCTCTGCCCAGCACGGATTTATCCACAGAACCACAGAATATCCTGAGCTGGAAGGGGCACACGAGGACCACTGAAGTCCTTGTCCTGTTGTACAAAACTCTACTGCAGAGATTAAATCCAGAAAATGGCACAAAATTAAACTGGGGGGAGGTAAAAATGACATTTATGTGTCTTTCCCCAGGCAAAGTTGGGAGGGGTTTGCTTTGGTGTTCCCTGAGGGCCGGGACAAGGAACATTCCCAGGTTGAGCTGATGGGTTGTGGAGTTAAATTGATGACTTGTAGAGTTAAATTGATGACTTGTAGAGTTAAATTGATGGCTTGTAGAGTTAAATTGATGAATTTTAGAGTTAAACAGCCCTTGGTGGGGCTGGAGTGGGGTTGGGGTGAAGAGGGGACACTTGGGCAGTGCTGGGGATGTTCCTCCCAGAGGACCAGGCCAGGACTGGATCTGCCCAGGAGGAGGAGGGAACTCCTCTCCCACAGCTGCCAACCCCTGCCAGAGCCAGAGGATATTATGACATGTTGAGTAACAAAAGCAGCAGGATTTCCCAGCTAATAGTTTACGTTGAGGGCTCCTAAAGCATCCTGCTTTCCCAGCCCCTGTCCCAACATAGCCACGGAATAAGAATGTGCCACTTGGCCTGGGCTGCTGGGAGGAAGTAGTTAAAGGTCATAGCACCTTCCTGTGATTTAATCTCGTGGCAGGAGCAGCAGGAGAGGAAAGTCCTGCTGCCTCTGCCTCACAGCTGAGCTGCTGAAGGCACTGCCAAGCTCTGGGATTGCAGCTCCAGCCGTGGAAAGCACCAGGCTGGCTGGGATGTGCCCCTGCTGTCCCGTTAGGCTGGCGCTGATTTAAGCTGGAGTGTGGCTGGTTGGGCCATCACTGCTGTGCTCCCTTTAAACCTCCAGCCCAGCCCTGCTGGGCTGTGCTCACGCTGAGCCAAAGCCTGGTCCTTTTGTGCTTGAAGTGCAGCACAAACTTTGACCTCAGCTGACCTCCCCTGGCTGCTCCACAGGCCGGAGCTGAGAGTTGGGAAAGGAGTTTGGATGCGAGCTCTCATTTCCCTCTTCCTTCCCCTCCTCCACCTGCAGGTTATTCTCTTCTCTGCTCCCGTGGAAAAATGTCACAGTGACCTTAAAGGCTTAAAATAAGTTCCCCAGCGGCCTTTCAGGCAGCAAATGTGGGGCTGCTCCTCTTTTTCCCAGCTCTTTCTCCCTGGGAAGGTGTTCCCTGGTACAGAGAGGTGCCAGCTCTGCTGTGCCAGCCCCTGCTCGTGGGGCTGTGCTGGCTCTGCCTTCCCCCCTCCATGGAGGATCATTCCTGGGATCACTGCTCTCACAGGGCTGGGAAAACGGATCAGCACAATTTCCTGGCTCCTCCTTGAGCGAGGAATACGTGCTCAGGGCTGCTGCAAGAGGAAAATGAAGCTTTGGGGAGCCAGGCTCACACCAGGGGGAAGCACAAGGTCCTCACTTGGGATTTAATGCGTGGCCAGCTCGGGGGTGACAACTGTGTGTCCCTAAGGATCTGTCCCGAGGGAATATGTGCGTGCCTCAGGCTTGGAGGGACTGGCTGCTCCCTCTTGTGGTCCCCTGGAAAGGCTGTGCATGGAGGGGAAGGGAGAGGGACAAGAGGGGATGGAGCCTCAGGGATGGGTCCGTTCCCAGTCTGGGATCCTGGCTGGGGATGGGCAGCACCTGCTGGTAGAAAGAGCAATCATTTTTCTTCCTGAAGCTCCAGAAACTTGGATTCTTTAGTGGAGAGTAAAACACACCCTTAAGCCAATTAGTACAGCCCTTAGCTCCTGGGTTTTACCTTCTTCCCAATCCACCAGGATAACACCAAACCCACTCTGCTTATACCCCCACCTTCCAGCGCTGCAGCAGCTCTGGATGGATTTGGAACTGACCTGGTTGATCCTGATTTTTTGGCTCATCAGAGCCTGGCCAGGGGACTGTGGGAGCAGGTTTAGGACAATTAAATCAGATTTTTGGTGTTTGTGATCCACTCTCGCATCACAGGCACAGCATCTCCACATCCAAGAGATTTTTTTAGCTGCAGTGACAGCAAGGCTGGTCTTGATCTCAGAGTTCTCTTCCCAACCTTAACAACCTCATGGTGACCTGTACATTTTGCACTGCCAGGCTGAGTTTTTTTTTCATTTTTAAACAAAAACGAGGGGGCTTCAAAAACTCCCGATTCCCTCGGTTTTGTCTCTGGGGCCGCCCTCGCCTTGTTGAATTTGCTCCTTGCCGGGGTGGGGTAACGAGGGTGTGCCTCTGGTGCAGATACTACAACAAGCTGGTGAGGAGCCTGCTGGAGTGCGACGAGGACACCGTGAGCACCATCAAGGACAGCCTGATGGAGAAGATCGGGCCCAACATGGCCAGCCTCTTCCACCTGCTGCAGGCCGACCACTGCGCCCAGGGCCACCCCCGCGCCGACCTCAGCAGGAGGAGGATCTCGGAGCCCCAGAAGCTCAAGCTCTACTTCAGGAACCTGCGAGGTGAGGGCTCGGCCCCGGCCCACGCCAAGCGCAGCTCGGCCGAGAGCGCGTGACGGCCGCCCCGGGCGGGGGCTCCGAGGGGGATGCCAAGCACTACCAAAGCTCCAGAGAGAATGCACCCGGGCCCAAGTGCACTGTAGCTTGTTCTAAACACACCCAGGGACCCGGGGTTAGGTTTAGTCCTTGGTGTTTTCTGTCCCTTTTCCCCCAGCCCCTCGGTGGGTCAGCGTTCGGTGTCTCGGCTTTTCCCGCCGGTAAAATGTCTCCACCTCGTTTTCTTCCCACCCCCCAAAAAAAAAAAAAAAAAATGATGTCCCAAAAGGTCTCGGTCTTAAGTGGTCAGGCCTTCAGACACCAAACCCTAAACGTACTGTAGTGCTGACACCACTGGAGTCTGAAGATCTGGGCCCCTGTCTGAGCTGGGGCGACAAGAGATGCACTAAAATCCGCTGCACACCCCTAAAGGTGCCAGAGGAGTTCGTGTTATGAATCTGTGCTGGCCATGGACGAATATGAATGTCATGTTCCTGGTCTCTTATCGTGTCCTGCAGTCCTAACCACTCTGTTAAAACCCCCCTGGCTTTACCAAACTGGCCGTGGGTGAGCTCAGTCACCGTGACCTGGCACCACGGGGCAAACTGAGTTAAAACCAACCCCCCCCTTCCCACCACCATCACCACCACCCCCCAAAAATCAGGAAAGGGACGTTTTGTACCCCAGACGTGATCAAAAGAGGTGCCAGCCTGAGGCTGAAGCTGGTCAGGAGGTTCCATAATCTTGCATTGTATTTAAAAGCTAACATCTATGTACTGTATTTAACTGTCTAAAGCTTTAAAAGAAAACCTAACAGAAACAAACCCTGTCTTAAGACTAGAGTATTAAAGGTCTTGCTCTAACTGTGGTATAAATAGTTTTAAAATCTGTCATGTACTGTACATAAATTCCATGAGAGTCTGCTTGAAAGGAGCAGAATATAATAACTTTATTGCCTAAACTTAGTTTTGTAATTTAGCTCTTTCTTTTCTTGTTCTTTTTTTTATTTCTCTTTTTGCTTTTCCTGGAAACAGTGTCTCTGTCATATTTAAGAGCTCTACTCCGTGGCCTTTTTTAATAATGGAAGAGGGGGAAAAAAATGGTTTAGGATGGGAATTGCAGGGCCAGAAACAAGCTTTTCACGGCTAAAATGGAGGGGGAAAAAAAACCCCAAACCCTAAAACAAAGCGGAGTTCAGCCTGGCCAGTCCTATCCCCTCTCCCAGAGCTGCTGTGAGACACCCTCACACCCGAGCGACTGCTGGGGGAGCTGCTGTAGGAATCACCAGGTGCTTTGGGATAAAACTGCCCTCAGAACGCTGATTTCTAGGGAAAGGCAGGGGAAAAAAAATCCTGCAATTCTCTGAGGTGAAGCTGAGGGCACAGGGACTCACGCCCTGGGAGCTGCCTTTGCTCCCATCCTCCTCCTCAGCAGGCTCTGGGAAGAGGAGCAGAGGGTCCCGTGCTGGGGGTCACCCCCAAAACCCACTCCCAAGTCACCTATCCAGGTTCTGGTGAGCCAAAAAAAAAGCAGGATCACCCAGGCCAGGTCCAAATCCATCCCCTCAGAGTCCCTCTGCAGAGTGGATGACTCTTCCTCAGCTGCTCAGCGAGCTAATAAAGGAGGGATCTATTTTCCTTTTCGAAACCTAAAGCAATATAACTTTTTGTTTGTTTGTTTTGGTTTGTTTTTTCTTTTTAATAAAAAAAAAAGAAAAACAACAACAACAACAAAAACCCAAACCATGAAGCCTTTAAACAATAACTTGCTGCTAATATATTGAAACCAGATGCAGTGGCAGCGTTTCTGATGTTGCTGTCTTCGTTCAGTGTAGCCCAAAAGTGCTGTCAGAAAATTGGAAGCAGCAAACAAACAAATAAACAAAAAACAACAACAACAAAAATGTTGCTGACGGTAGAGGGTTGTTCTTTTAATTTTTATTTTGAATTGTAGGGCGAGGAAGATGCAATATTGCTCCTTCTTCGGGCAGTCAGGGATAGAGAGGCCAACGAGAAGAAGTTTTGCAAGGTGGAAAAAAAAAAAACCAAAGGCTCCTCGAAGATCCCGACCCTAAAAGTTGGTGGGGGAAGAGAAGGGGTCGATCTGGAACTTCGATGCCAGGCTGTGGGATTCCCACCCCCACGGCATCATCACAGCTGACACTGCCCTGCTGGGAGACAGGGAATTCTCCCTGGGAGGGGGGAAATAATTCCAAGAAAAGGTTCAAACAACCCCCTGGGGGGCTGTGCTGGTGCTCCAGAGCTCCTAGAGGGGCTTCCCAAAACCTCTCCCACCCGGGACACCTGGCAGCCACCCCCTTCCGTGGGGATGTTCCTCGTGGAAACATGTTGTTCCTTCCCCATTCCCTAGGAAACCCCAGAAAAGGTGGATAAAGCCAATTTGGGGCTGGGGATGAGCGTGAGATCCATCCCCTCCCTCCTTCCCCCCAAATCTGATGTTTTCTGGGGGGGTCAGTCACGACGAAATTCCTCTCTCCCGGCAGCGATTTCGACTCGTGCCCTTAACAGGGGTGGGAAGAACGAGTAGGAAAATCATCCCCACCCCGAGCAGGCTTAGGGGTCACCTTGCCCAACCAACCTCGGCCTAAGCTGGGCTCTTAAACTCGAGCTTAACCAGGGGAGGGCTCCTGGAGGTGGTGGAGGAGCCTCCCTTGCCCTGGCAGCGGAGTTTGGGATGAGGTGGGAGAGATTCACACCCCAGGGGCAGCGATGCTCGATCTCGAGTCCAGCAATTTCACTGCTTCGCCTCTGGGGCTTTGTGTTTGTTTTTTTTTGTTTGTTTAATCTCATGGTTTTGATGGCAAAGTGAGTTTTTGGGTTTGTGTTTATTATTTTTATTTTATTTTATTCTTCTCTCGGGGGCGGGGAGGGGCTTCTCTAGAAACGTTTGCATGAGTCTCGTTGTGATTTGTTTGCACTTTAGAAGGTTTTCGTGCCATTATAAATTTGCCTTTTATTGTATTTATAATTTAAAGATGCCTAGAAGGGGAGAGAGACTTTGGGTTCTTCGTTTTGGTTTTGTTTTGGTTTATTTTGTTTTCTTTTTTTTGCTGAGTACTGGAATAAACAGTGAGCATATCTGGTATATGTCATTATTTATTGTTTAAATTACATTTTTAAAGCTCAGTGTGTTCATATAAAAGGTTATTTGAGACATATCATAGTAATGAGAAAGATGCAAGTTATTTTCTTTGCTTATTTTTATAATTAAAGATGCATAACATAATGAGGCCTATGTTGGATTTTTCTTCTGCAATGAAATAAAATGTCAAATTTAAGGGTTTGTAGTGTCTGAGTCTTTCATTAAACCCGACTGTGAACTGGTTCTGGTACCACCAGCAAGAAAGATGTTGGACTTACCTCAGATGAGCCTCCATAAATCTTATATAAAGATTTATTAAATATCCTCTGGTGTTAATAATGATGTTGATAAATGATGATAATCAATGATGATGTTGATAAACCCCAGTGCTAACGAAGCTCTGGAGATTGGCAGTGGCCTGACCTTGTAATGGTAATTTATTTACCCCCATAATTCATGCAGAATTCATGGACACCACTGCAGGAAGAAGAAAACACATTGATTTCTTATTTGGTGTACATGTGCATTTCAGTCAGGAAAACTCTGATTTCCAGTGGAAGATCAAAAATGAAGTTTAATAATACCAGAGGAAGTTAATCCTGACTTAGTGCTCCCAAAGCTGCTGCAAAGTTTACAAATCACTTCCCCCATTAAACAACATTTGTCAAAGAGACCCAAAGAACAAATATTAGAAACACAATTGGATTAATGTAGGATCTCTCACATTCATCTCTCTTGCAGCAGAGAGATTTTGCTGAACCCCCCCCTTATCTCAGCCAGGGAGAGGTTGGAGAACCTTGGGCAGAAAATACCTGGGAGAGACACAGGAGTTTTATTCCAGACACCAGCTGGAAAAACCAGTAAAACCTGTATGAGCTCATGTGGGGGGAATGCCATTATTTTCACACAGACAGGATTTTTTTCTCCCTCCTTTTTTTTCTTTTTTTTTCCCTCTTTGGTTTTTATTTTTAAGCAGAGTGAAACTCCAGCATAACCCAGGATGATCCTTGTTACCTGCCCCTTCCCAATTCCCCCTCCAGCCTTTCCCCTGCTCTGGATGGGCTGATTTGAGTCCAAACACACAAACCCACACTGGCCCTACTGGTTATTTTGAGAGAAAAATCTTTTTTTTTTATGGAGAATACTGTTCCCTGTATTCTCCAGCTGGGAGAAAATCCCACTTGCTTCCATTGGATTTCCTTCAGGGCTATTTTTCAGCTGCGGGCTTGGAGGGGTTTGTGCTTGCAAAAACAAATCCCCTGCTCTCTCCTGGCTGGGCTGTTTGGCTTGGAGGAACCAACCAGCTCCATAAAATCATCAGCCATCCCCAGCTTGGGGCCCAAACCCCAGCAGGGCTCTGCTCTCCCGTGGGGAATTCCGAGTGTCCCATCCAGCAGGAAAGAGCCCAGCTATTTAGTTCGGTTGGTTATAATTAATCCTGGAACCTTTTTTCAGAACTTAAATAAATAAATAAATAAATAAATAAATAAATAAATAAATAAAGGCCTATTTTCTGAGCTGTTTTTTTGCTGAAGTGCCTCACATGTTGTTTCTTAGAATCCCTTGGAATCATCTCCACGATTTCCATGGGGATGAGGAGGCGTCCGGTTGGTCCTCCAGGTGCCTTCCAACCCAAACCTTTCCATGAAAATCAAGAAAATCCAATTAATGTGAGCAGGCAGAGAAGAGCACAGATGTTTCCTTGGGTAAATTGTGCTCGGTGTGACCTCAAGTTTCCACCAGCACCACTCAGCTCCCTGCCCCAAAAACCTTCCTGCCGGAGCATCCACGAGTCTTTCCTGCCTGAGGGGAATCTTTCCTTCCTCTGGGCGAAGCCACTGCCCTCAGGAGGAAGGAAGGAGGAGGCTGAGAGTCCTGGATGAGGCTCCAGACACCTCCTGGAGAGGTGGAGCTGCCACTGGTGAGTCAAACACATCCCAAACGACGCAGGAGCGTTTTCCTCCTCGTCACCGGGGTGGTGGGAATGGCCAGCCCATCCCTGATCCCACTGACACAGGACATCAGGAAGGGCCATCCCAGCCCCGTTCCCGCTCTCACAGGACAGCAGGAATGGCCATCCCAGTCCTGCTGGCACAGGATTGTTTGATGGGGCTGAAGAGGGCAGAGGTTTTGTCGCTGCATCGGAGGAAAGGGCAGATCCACCCGGAGCTGCATTCCCAGGTCAAGGAGCAAACTTCCCTTAAGGGTGGGTAGTGGTACTTCTGGCCTTAAAAATGAGCTTACCAGAAGGCCAGTGTTGGTGTTCTTTTTTCCTCTGGGCTGGGCAGGAGTTCTGCCCTGCTCCCAGCACTGTGTGCCTTCGTTCTTCCCAGGGCCGGATTTGGGAGCTGAGCTCACCCACCCTTCACTAATCAGAGTCCAGTGCCAGGGACCTTTGCTGGAAGCCCTCAGTGCTCCAGGGAACATCAGCATCCAGAGGAATATTCCTCAAACACCTGGGATTTTCCTTTTGGGGTTGCTCAGGTCATTGAAAAAGCAGCTGGACACCACGGGGACAATCCCAGCCCCAAACATCACCCCTTTGTCCAGCCCAGCGGGTCAGAGCCATCACCACAGCCCATTTATCTGGAACTGAGTTCCCAGGAGCATCTGGCTGTGACAGCTTCCACATTTCACATCCAGGAACAGCCAAAAATGTCACTTTAGTGCCATAAAAATCCTGCATGTGTCAGTGCCCGGCTCAGCTTTACCACCTCCCACTCAGGATTCACAGAATCCTGGGATGGTTTGGGTAGGAAGGGACATTAAACTCTTCCCATTCCACCCCCTGCCACGGGCAGGGACACCTTCCACCAGCCCAGGTTGCTCCAACCTGGCCTTGGACACTCCCAGGGATGGAGCAGCCACAGCTTCTCTGGGCAACCTGTGCCAGGGCCTCCCCATCCTCCCAGGGAAGGATTTCTCCCTAATATATCCCATTTTCTCCTTAATATCCCACCTAAACCTACTGCCTTTCAGTTTAAAGCCATTTTGCTCAGGGTTCCATCTGCCATCCAAACAGCAAACAACCCTCTGCTCAGATATTTCTTCTAGAAACAGCTCCTCTATTTCCCTTATATCCTGCATTTCCAGGAATTTGCTCAGCAGGCACCAACAAAAGCCTGGGAGCAGCACACCCCATGGAGATTTTTTCAGTTGGGTGAATAATACAGTGATTTTCCCAAATTCCAAGTGCTCTGGCTGCCTGTCACGGTCCCTCACCGAGGCTGCAAATGTTGTTTTAATGCTGTAACAAGTTTCCCTCGCATCCCATTCGTCGCCCCACCTGGAATTCCCACCTGGCTGGGCTGCTGGGAACGGGCTTAGAGCATCGCCCCCCGCCAGGATTTCTGCCCCGCAGGATTTCTCAGGCAGCTCCGGGGCTGCCAGGAAGTGATTAAGAAAGCAAAGGAAACAAAAGCAAGCCCAAAAAAAGCCCCGATGCCGCTCCCTCTTCCCCCCACGGCGATTACTCAGGGTCCCCTTGGAAGCCGCTCTGGCGTCAAAGGATGGCACCTGAAAAAGGGGGGAATCGCCCGGATCCCAGCCCGGATTGCAGGAATTGCCTTGATCCCAGGAGACAGGGATCAAACCAGGAAGGGCTGGGGGTGATTTGGGGCAGAGCCTCTGCCGACCCCTGTGAGCTTTGCTCAGTCACAGGGACCCCAGTGCAGCCCCATCTCCCCCCTGTGCTCCCCAGTGCTGCTACTGGGATGGCACTGGGGGCTGCCAGAAACACCCAGCTGGGCCATAACACCCCCCTCCCCAAAAAAAAAGAGCTTGGGATGCTTCAAAGCTCGTCCTGACCAGCCAGGGTTGGACTCACCCCTCCCCAAAAAAAAACCCACCCTCCAGTGTCGCAAAAACTCCGCGTTTGGAGCAACCCAAAGGTTGGTTTCTCCCAGTCCTCCCAAAAAGCTGGATTGATTATCTGCTCCCCTCCCTGCTCTGCTCCTCCTGGAAGCTTTCAGTGTGTTCTCAGCTGGTCCCTTCGCCCCCAGGCAGGGGCACAGCCCAACATCACCCCGGGCTGGCCCCCCCTCCAGCTCCCAGTGCTGCTGGCAGAGCTCTAAAGATAGATCCCAGCAGAGATTATCAGCCCTCCTGTATTAATAGGAGGCAGCTGCTTCTTGAAAGTGGCTTTTAAATAAAGAGAGAGAAACTTTGGTGTATTTTTAAAAGCCTTTTAAGTGAGGAGAGCTCCCCCTGGGGGTCTGTGGGGTTGTCCTGGGGTTTTCCACACTGACATTCCCCCCCAGACCCTCAGCCCACGGTGGCAGGAGCCAGCTGTGCAGATGCTGACCTCACATCTGGGCAGCTTGGCACAGGCAGGGCCTGCTGGGAGAGGTGCCCAAGGTGTGTTTTTACTTCTAAACCCCAAAAAACAGGGCAAAATCTATTGCTGTGCCATGAAAACCAGCCAGGGAGAGCAAGAAGCGCTGTTCCCTGTGGAAATAGAGGCAGGGTGGGTGAAAACACCGGGATTTGTGCCTGGGGAAGGAGGAGTGGGGCGTGGGCACGGCCCACAGCCTGATGGAATCTCATCCATCTCCATCGGGGACAGGGAGACCAAGTGTGGGGCTGGGATTGGGATAATCCCTCTCTCCCAGGCACCAGGGGGACGTTCCCAACCCTCAACACACACACACAACCCACACACTCGTGTGCTGAAGGAGGTTATTCCTCTTGGCAGCCCTTCAGCTGGAAGCGGAAAATCCTGTGGCACTCGGCAGGAGTTTTTGTTTTTATTTTTTTTTTAGATTAAACTCCTCAAAAAAAAAAAAAAAAAAAAAAAAAAGAAAGAGAAGAAAAGGACGTCACAACCCCCAGAACCGAAAGGGGGCTGCTCTGGGTGACCTCCAGTTGCTGCTGCACGTCTCCCAGCCCTGCTCAGGAAGTTGCTCACAGCCAGTTTATGTGTTTTAAGGGTGGGGAGATTGACAAATCGGAAATCTAGGACGTGTAATAGCTGATAACAGATGATGCATTTCCCCCTGCCCCGTGAATTATTTGGGGCTGGTTGTTGTTTGAGCGTTGCCGTGCCTGGGATTGCAGCGTGAGGCGTCCGCGGGTGACATCAGAGGGGCAGAAAATTCAGCAATTCTCCTGTTTTTAGGGCCTATTGAAGCCAGATATTTTAAGTTACGTTTTGGGGACGGTGTCCAAGAGATCTCTCTTCAATCTAAATAAACATCTCCTACTTAAAAACAACCAAAAAAAAAAAACCAAACCCCAAAACAAAACAAACCAAAAGCAAACCAAAGCAAAGCCCAAACCCAACAGATGTGGCCGGAGTTCCAAAGCAGAAATTAAACCCCCAAGCACATCTGCCAGTCCCTGGCCTTGCTGTGCACCCTGGAAAAACCAGGAGCACAGAACAACTGGAGCAGGGCTGGATCCCTGGAAACCACGGAGCAGCTGCTGCTGGGGATGCAGGGAGAGAAAGGGGTGCAGGAGGAAACCCTCCTTTTTTTTTTTTTTTTTTTTTTTTTAAGTGAGGATGGTGCAGTTTGGGGTTCAGAGAGGTGGGACTGAAGAGTGGGGGTCTTTAAAAAAAAAAAAAAAACAAACTTCGGAAAGGTTTTATGGGCCCAGATTTTTCCTGTATATCTGAGTCTGGGATGCTCCAACCCTGACAGCAGGAGATATGGCAGCCCCTTATCCCGCTGGGAATGTTTGGGAGCCTCAGGAGAAGCTGGAAGGGCATCTCCAGCTCATCTCCCTGCCAGGTGTTGGGCTGGATTTTTTTTCCTTTCCCGATTATGTCGTTTCCAGCAGCTCTTGTGCCACCTGCTGACCGAGGGCTCCCTCCACATCCAGCACCCCTCGCCTTCCAGAGGGTGGAATGAGGTCAGAACATCCAGGGATGGGATCACAGGATGTTCCAGGCTGGAAAAGGCCTTTAAATCACCGAACACAAACCCGTTGGATTCCCTCCTTCCCATGGGAAAAGCTCGGGAAGGAGCAGTTGCCTCCTTAAAGCACTGACGGACAAGTACAGAGAACGCGATTTTATTGAGTCCCAATCCATCCCCTCCATCTACCAGCGCCGGGGTGGACACTGAATTATTCATGACGCTCCACCAAAATAATCCCGCCTAAAAATAAAACTCCCCTGCTTCGCTTTTAACCCCCAGCAGTATTTTTATCTGCCGGGTGTGACGCGGCAAAGCCCTAAAAACCCGCGGGGTTCCTGCCCCGCAGCCGTCACTGCCCCGCTGCTCTGGAATTGCGGCGATGAGGGAGCTCAGAGGGGAGGGATTTTCGCACCTTTTCACTCCTCAGCTTTGGAATTCGGAGGAGAAGCGAAGCTGCACATCTCGGCTGTCCAAGCAGAGGGCACTGCTGGCTCACGATTCGAGCCAGGGGTTTAAGTCGATCCTAAAGTCCTTCTGGAGCAGCAAACCCCTGCTGAGAAACCACCTTTCCACTTCATCCCCCTGATCCCAACAGGTCCCCAAAATACCAGGAGTAATAGGTTAAAAATGGTGCTAAAGCCCCGTTGAAGAGAAGAGAAGAGTGACAAAGAGCACCAGAACACCCAGCAGGGCCGTGGCTCCATCCCAGAGCCACAAAGCAGGTTCTCCATGAAAGCTTCCCCAAGTTTAATTTCATATTTTCATTTTTTTAATATATATTTTCATGCCACGGGTTCTGAAACAAAACACATTTTCCTTCTTTTTTCTCCTCCCTATGATTATTAGAGAGCCTTGGAGAGGGAATCTGCTCCCCTCACCCTCCTGCAGTTCACCCTCTGCCACCACTTCCATTTTCCCTGCCTCTTGTTTTGTTTCGCTGATGAAAAAGGACAGAAAGCAGCTAGGGGGAAAAAGCAGAGGATGTAGAAAACCCTTTTAAGTTTAGTTTCATCTGCATCAAAGCATTCACCAGCTCCTCAGAGGTGTCTGCTCTGTGCTTGCAACACCTCCTGCATCCAGCTCGCTCACTGCTCCCCTTATTCCCATTATATCCCAGTTATTCCCAGAGTAAATATTCTCGTTATTTGAGCACTTTAAAAACACTTTAAGAACAAAACCTCCTGGCAGGACAGGAGTCCTGGAGGAGGGGAGGAGGGGGGGGCTGGCAGGCAGAATCGGGTTTCCAGGGCTTCGGATGCTCATCCGACATCTCATCGGGATCTTGATGCATCCCAGAAATCAGATACCCCGCCACAGAAATCCCGCCGGTGGCTGGGAGCAGTGGCTTTCTCCTGATTTCCCCTAACCCGGTTAGCAGGAGCAGTAATGTCCCCGCCGAGCTGTAACGACATTAACTCCCCTCTCCCAGAGATGCCGCTGATTGATGCGGGCTCGCCACTGATCCTCTCAGTCTCCCTCCCGGGAATTCCCCAGGGGCAGCTCCCTGCCAAAATGTGTCCATCCCCTGCGCAGCAGGAAGGGTCTGAGCCCTCCTGGGTGCCTGGAAAAGCTCCGGGACACAGGGCAGGGAGCAGAGCTGAGGCTCTGGGCAGCAGGTTTAGGCAGGGGAGAAGCTGTGGGGGTGATTTAGGAGCCTCATCCAGGCCTCTGGGTGCCAGGAGGGTTGGGTGAGACCCAGGATGATCACTAATCTGAATTAATTCTTTCGTTTTATTCATTAACAATTTATCTATTCTATAATATATTGTTCTATATCATTGGGATGTTATAGATTATTGAGATATTAAAATATAGACTATAATAATTATTAATTAATGGTAAGTGTAATTAGTAGAAAATCATTATATAAAGACTCGAAAATAATAAGCTAAACCAATCCTGCCCCTCTCCCAGCTACTAAAATCCATTTCCCTTCGCTCTCCCACACAACCCACCCCGCACCGGTCCCTCCGCAGGTCCTGAGAGCCAAATCCAGCCCTCCCCATTAATCTCGGAGTCATTAGGGGCGGATAAATGTACTTACCCCAATTCCTTCCTGCTCGTCTCGATCGCAGCCAAGCATTTCGCGTCGGCGCCGCCGCCTCCCGCCGGCGACGAGGTGTAAAGTTACCGCCTGTTTGCCCCTGCCTTTCGGTGCTCCCAGCCCCAAACGAGCCGTTTAGACGTGGCAATGAATCCAGCCGGGAATTGGGAAGGCGCTTGGGAGGGTGGGACGCAGCCCCGGGCTTGGAGGAGGTGATTTGGTTATATAATAATACCCTAAGAAATCAAATGCAGTAATATATAGAAAAAAAATAAGTAACGTGCCAAAATACTTAAAATAATAATTATTATAAATAACAATGTGCTCCCCCAAACAGCCCAGTTAACACTTTTTTGAAGGACTTCACTTGAAGTGAAGGGAAAACCCGTGTTCCAGTGCTGGGATTCCTGATCCTGGGCTGGAGGGTCCTCCTGGCATTTCCTCCTTCATCTGGGGCTCAATTTTTAAGCACTTGGGTGAGAAAGGAAAGCCCCAACCCGGGCTTTGCAGGGTTTCCAATAGGGTTTGTTGTGTTTCAGGCCGTGGTTTGTCAGGGAGGGAAATGCCAGGGAACACCGGGAAGGGCCCTGTGGGCAGGAGGCTCCAGCCCGGGCTGCTTTCACGAGCTGCAGGGTCTCCTCTGCAGGATTGGGAATTTTGGGGTCTGGACAGCAAGTGCAACAACCCAAAAAAGGTCAAAAAAGCCATCTTGGAGGAGAGTGGGTGCTCTCCAGGAGGGAAGAACCTCCTGATCAGGGCCTGGGCTTTCCCCACTGAAGGGATCCCATGGATGCTGAAGGGATGCTGCACCTCGAGCCCGTGTGTTCCACAGGAATCAGGGCCCACCTGTGGAGCTCTGAACCACGGAATCACTGAGGCTGGAAAAGACCTCTGGGATCATCGAGTCCAAGCTGTGACCCAACCCCACCTTGTCACCCAGCCCATGGCACTGATGCCACATCCAGGCCCTGCTTAAACCCCTCCAGGGACGGGGACTCCACCCCCTCCCTGGGCAGCCCCTTCCAGTGTCTGATCACTCCCTCCGGAACGAGTTTCCTCCTAAAAGCAGCGCTTCTGAGCCCTTTCCTCGCCGAGCCACTGTATTTATTTTCCCTGCCGTCGCAGCCCCTCACTTCCTTGCCTGCTTTTGGGTGGTTTATTTATTCAGCCCCAACCTCCCCTCCCCTCCCAGCCCGGTTTGGCTATTTCGGTGCTGCGGGAGATGCCGACCCAGCCCAGACACAAACGAGCCCGGCTCTGTCAGGGCTGTCAGCAAACACCAGCGCCTGAGGCCGGCCAGGAATTTTAATTGAAATCGCCGGTCCCCGGGGCTCAGATAAGGCCCGGCATCACCCCACGGGGGACCGCGACCCCAGCCCACTCCCCAAACTCACGAGGGGTGCCCTGGTACCCACTCCACGCCCTGGCACGGGTGTGCCGGCTCAGTGCCCGCCCGCCAAGGCGGCACTGGGACATCCTGGGAGGGAAGTGGGGCCCGGAGCTGTCCCCACGTCGCGAGGGCTCCTCCGGCATCCCCCCCTCCATCGCCCGCAGGAGCTTGGTGGTCTGCGCTCTTTATCAGCCCTTATCTCCCGAAGCCGCTCGCTAATGTGACCTTAATGGAGCTAAATCGACTCGATTTGTTTTATTGCGGCTTAGCCCAAACCCCAACAGCCCTTCCCAGCCCCAACCCCCCTCACCCCCTTCCCGCTTCCCTTGTTTTGGAAACACGCAGGGAAGGAGCTCGACGGGGGGGGCAGCGCATGGGGAGCCGGAGCATCCCGGGCTGCAGGGAGAGCCATCAGGGGGACTGTCCCTCCTTCCCCTGCTCCCCGCGACCCCCGGGGACCCCCCCGAGCCCGGTGGGCCGGCGGGGGTCGGGGGTGGTGCCCGGCCCGGCGGCTGCGGGAGGGTCCGAGGCGGGAGCGGCGTTGGGAGCGCTCGGTGGCTCCGGCACCCCCGCGCCCCCCGGCCCCGGGAGATGCTGCCCACCCCCTTCTCGGTGAAGGACATCCTCAACCTGGAGCGGCCGGAGGGTCCCCGCACCCCCTCCGGTGCCCGCAGCGCCCGCAGCCCCGACGGGGAGGACGAGCCGCAACCGCGTGAGTGACCCTCGGGGCCGGGGGGCGGCGGGGTGGGAGGGACCCCACTAAAAAGAGAGACAGAAAGACCAGGGGGACCCCAGGGAGCTGCTTTCGTTCCCCTGGAGCGGAAAACCGAGGGCAGCGCAGCCGCTCGTTGCATCCTCGCACGGCCGCTCCCGGTGGTCCCCGCCGCGGGCCACGGCCAGTTTCCTCCTTTCCCCTCCCTTTTCCCCCTTTTTTTCTATATGATATGTTTTTGGGGGGGGTTCTTCAGGGGATTTTCCGGACATCCCGATGATCCCCGGCGCCCCAGCGCATCCCCTGTGCGCCCCCGGCGCTCCGGCTGCCCCGGGGGAACGGAACGGCCCGGGAGGTGAATACAGCTGGGAGGGGTTGGATATAGGATAGAACTGGGGCTTTTCCTGCCCCAAATCGCCCACCACCACTGTTTTCGATGATAAACTTGCCCCCGTGTCGATGCTCCGTGAATTGTCCCCGCTGGGAGCACCGAGGCGTCCCCGAGAATGCTCCGGAGCGGTCCCCGAGAGCGGATCGGACGTGTCCCACTTCTCCCCGCTGCTAAAATCCCGCAAAGCTTCCTTGCCTCGTGTTTCCATAATTCCCGGCGGCTGCGGAGTGGAGGAACGGGGAAACCAGTAGGAGCGGAGCGGGAGCACTGGGAGGCACTGGGATACAGGGGGAGAGAGGGGGAGAGGAACCCGCGGAGGGCTCTGCCCGCTATCTCACCTGCATTCAGAGCCCTCCGACACCCCATTTCCCAGCAGAATCCCCTGGAATTCCCGGAGGAATGCTGTGCCTTCTGGGGAACGCGAGCGCATCCCAAGAGCCGGGAAGCAGCTGCCGGGAATGATCCCGGCTGTTCGTGTGCCACGCGAAATCCCAGCAGATCCAAAAAAACCCCCAGCCATCGACTCCTTCGTGTCTTCTCTCAGAGTCAACAATTTTCCCTCCTTCATTCCCAGCCCCTTCGGGTTTTTTTTTTTGGTTTTGCTTGAATTCGCAGGGATGTGGGATCCCTCTTTCCCTGGATCCTGGAGGTCTGGTTTCCATCCCTCCTGTGCCCCGCTTTCCCTGTACCCCTCAGGCTGGAGCTGCCCAGGCTGGCAGTCCCAAAAATATCCCCAGGCATCCTTAGGAGGCACCAAAAGGAGCCATTATCCAGAATTAAATTATTAAAATTAATCTATCAAAATTAAAATTAATCTATCAAAATTAAAATTAATCTATCAAAAAAAAAGGAGGGGGGGAATTTCCTTAAATTACCCTTAACCATCACAGGGAAATTCATATTAACTTATCGACTATCAATCTCAAATGTATCAATTTATTAATTCATCAGTTTATCAACTATCAGCCTTTAATGTATTAATTTATCAATTTATTGATTTGTCAACTATCAGCCTTATATTTATCGACTACCACCCGTGAATTTGTTAATTCATTGATCTATCAACCTTAAATTTATTAATTTCTTAATTTATCAACTATCAGCCTTAAACATATCAGCCATCAAACTTAAAGTTATTGATTTATTAATTTATCCCCTATCAGCCCCACTTCAATTTATCCCCAAGGGAATAAAGCGAAGTGGGGCTGATAGGGAATAAATTAATAAATTCCATGGAACAGGGATGAATTTGGGTCTCACTTCGCCGTGTTTTTTTGCTTCGTTGCAGGGAAATGTTCGCTCACCCCCCCCTCGGAGGGCGAGGAGAAGAAAAGCCCCCCCTGCCCCCTCCCCAGGCAGCGGCAGAGGAGGAAGCCGCGCGTTTTGTTCTCCCAGGCGCAGGTTTTCCAGCTGGAGCAGCGGTTCCAGCGGCAGAAATACCTGTCGGCCCCGGAGAGGGAGGAGCTGGCGCGGCTGCTCCAGCTCAGCTCCACCCAGGTGAAGATCTGGTTCCAGAACCGGCGCTACAAGAGCAAGCGGCAGCGGCAGGACAAATCCCTGGAATTGGCTGCCCACCCGCCTCCCCCTCGCAGGGTGGCGGTGCCGGTGCTGGTGAGGGATGGCAAACCCTGCCTGGGGCGTTCCCAGCCTTTTCCAGCCTTTCCCGGCCCTTATTCCTACGGCTCCTGCTGCAGCCCCTACGGGGCCGCCTTTGGGGCGGGGTACCCCGCGGTGCCCCCCGGTGCCACCCCCGGCAGCTCGGGCATGGCCAGCCCTGCTCGGGACCCCCCCTCAGCCCCTCGGGTGGCACTCAGGGCTGGCAGGTGGAGGTGAGGACCAGCCGGGAATCCCTCTCCTTCCAGACAGCAGCCGAATTCCAAAGGATTCCCATCAGCCCGGCATCCTTTCAGCACGGGGGGGAAGAGCTTGGGAAAAGCTCCCTGAAAGGCTTGGGAGAGAGGGGGACGCTGCCACCCCAGCACTGAGACTTTGGGGAGCCGAGGACTGAGGGCATTCTGTATTATTTATTATTAAAGCAAAGAGTTTGGAGTTTGGACCCTTCCAGCTCCCAGAGGATTCGCTCCTCTGGGATGCTCCATCAGGAGGGTGTGAGCAGTGGTTTTCTTCCTAAGGACAGCTGGAGAACACACGTCACTGTGCTTTTTTTATGGACAGCATTTAACTCTCTGAGCTCCTCGAATCTTCTGAAATATATTTCTGATTTATGTGTCTTAATATCTCCCAGCACAGCTGTCCAATTCTGTCTTTATTATTATTATTATATATTATATATATTTATATATTATTATAAAATCTCCCCCTCTCCACCCCTGCCCCTGTTCCAGGCTGTTCCCCCCCTCTTCCCACCTCATTCCCAACGGCTCCTTATCCTCCCAGCATTTGGCAAAAAAAGACTTGCAGGAGGCCATTAAGCTTTTATCTGCAATCCCACTCAGCCCCATCACTCCAGCAGTTCCCTCACTTCCCAAATGGGACCTCCCTGACATCCAGATCAAACCACAGAATCCCTGCCAGGGAGATAACTCCTCTTCCAGCTGCTCCGAGGCTTTGGAGCACATGGAGCCCCTGGAAATGCCTGGATCCTGCCCCTTCTCCTCCCCTTCATCCATCCACACTCACTCAGGGGTATCTCCCACTGTCAGCTGGATCTTGGGGCTCTGTCCCAGGACTCCACAGGGTCCTTGCACTGGGAATTGCAGCTGGCACTGGGAAAAGCCCTGGCAAACAGCAGCATCCCAGGGCAGGGGCTTCTCCTGCAAGTCTGAGGGGTTTTCCAAGGAGCTTCAGCAGCAGAATGAGGCAAATCACAGGAAACTCCCCCAAATCAGCACAGAAATCAAGGAAGGAAATTGCTTCCTTCACCAGCTCAGGATGAAAAGGTCTGGAAATGGGAATAATGAGTATGGAGGGAGTGTTTGGACAACTCTCTCAGGCTCGTGGTGGGATGGTTGGGGCTGTCCTGTGCAGGGTCAGGAGCTGCACTGCAGGATCCCTTTGGATCCAACGAAACAGCTCAGGACATTCTGGGAAGGCACCCTTTATTCCCCTGCATTATGGGTTGGGAAATGATAAAGTAGAATGAAATTATGCCTCTGGAAGGAAGGGAATTGCCTGTGGGAAGAGGGGCCCTTCTGCTGGGTCTGGAGCCTGGAATAGCTGTGGATGGACAATGGGATGAGTTCCTGCAGGTGCAGCCTAAGCTGGGCAGGGGAAGGGGCTCTGCAATGGGAAAACTGCCCCCCAAATCCAGCAGGGACCCTTTGGAACACCCCCACCCCCAGCAGCACCTTTCCCAACTCCTAATTCTCTCTCCAGAATCCCAGTTTGGGGGTTGGAGAGTCACAATAAAACTCTTGGGCTCCAGTTCCTCCGTAAATCTTCCCAAATTTCCTTTCTCTGACTGAATGATTGAAGCTGTTGAGGTTTTCCAAGCAATACAGGGGGATGTTTTCCAAGCCAGCAGGTTGAAAAAGGAGGGGAAAAAAGGGCAGGATAAAGCAGAGTTTGGGACACGTTTGCACAACCTGCTCTGGGCTTTGGGCTGCTGTAACCAAACACCCTCCTATAAAATCAACAAAGTCCTCAGGGGACTGCAAGGAAATCTATTGTTTCCCTTTTTAAGGTTTTAAAAAAATACAAAACATGCCCAGGCTTTTCAGCTGAGGGAAAAAGCTGGGCTTGGGCAAAGGTTTTGGGAATAAAAGAGTTGACCAGTGCTCATTCCACCAGAAAAAGGAGTCTGGAGAGCTATGGGAGGTCACAATATATTGAGATATATTGATATATTCCAGACAGAAACTCTGGAAGAGCACCTGCAAATAAAGGAGATCATCGGGAAAACAAATCTGTTATAACACTCGTGGGTTTTCTTGGATTTGGGAAGGGCTTTGATCCCAAAACTCCCATCCCTCTCCTGGTCATAAAAGCAAGGAGGGTGATTTGGCAGGGGGAGGTTGAGGGATCCCTGGGGAAGGATTCGTGTCCGGAGCAAGAGGGAGAAGCCAAGAGCCAAAACTCCGCCGGGAGCCAAGACACGAGGGAAGGGCGTAGACTCCGCCGGGGCTCTCCAATCAGCCCCGGGAGGCTTGGCTGCCTCCAGGATAAATCCAGGGCCGGGAGGGTGGGAAGCTCTGGGCAGGGACTGCAGGAGGAGGAGGAAGAGGAGGATGAGCTCCGGGGCGCTCCCGGGAAGGAGGGAGAGCTCACCCAGCAGCGCCCCGGCAGCGATGAGCTGGACCCCCCCGGCCCCCCAGCAGCCCATCCCGATCTCCTCCAGGCCCAGGACATCCTTCCTCATCCAAGACATCCTCTGGGATGGGGCGGAGCGAGGAGCGCGGCTGGACAGGGGCAGGAGCAGAGGGTTTGGCAGCCCCGGGAATGCGGAGATGGGAGCGGCCCCGGCGGAGGGCAGGGAGGGGAACTCGGCCCCCGGGAACAAGCCCAGGAGCCCCCACCCCACGGGAGCATCCCACGGCACGGGGACACCCCGGGAAGTGGACACAGGTAAGGGCTGGGAGCTCCTGGTGGAGCCGGCTGGCTGGGAATGGGCCAGGGAATGGATCGGGAATGTCTGTGCTGGGATCAGAGAATGGATCAGGAATGTCTGTGCTGGGAGCAGGGAATGGATCAGGAATGTCTGTGCTGGGATCAGGGAATGGATCAGGAATGTCTGTGCTGGGAGCAGGGAATGGATCAGGAGTGTCTGTGCCTGGGTCAGCCCAGGGGCAGGATCCAGCCCTGGCTGCTGGAGCTTGGATCAAACACCCCCAGAGCATCCAAGCCCTGGCAGGGGGAGAGGAGGGGATTTAGTGACTGGGAAAACCTTTCTCCAGGTGCCTCAAACAACTCCAAGGTCTGAACCTGCCTAAAAATGATGTTTAAAAACTCCCAGTCGATGCATTTCTACAATACCTCAGGAAATAAATTCCTTTTTAACGCAGAAGATCCCAGAAAAGGTGCCATGGGGACAAAGCTGCAGATCCAAACATCCCAAAACCCAAGTTTTTGTGCCTGGTGTCCCTGTCCCTGCAGCAGCACGAGCCCATCCAGGGCTGGGGGGGGACACTCAGCCTTTCCCTGCCCAAATTGGCTGAGCTAAAACAGCCAAAAAAGCAATTTTGAACTCCCTGGTGACCAGGTCCTGCTCCCTCCAACAGCCCCTGCCAGGGGAATTTTGGCTTTGCATTTCGATTCTATTAAAAGAAGTTTCTGCATAAAAGCAAGTTCAGAGACAGCCCCTGGGCTGATTAATGAAAAAAAAAAATCACTAAAAGCCACCCCACATCTCCCAGGAAGTGTAAATGAGCCCAGCTCTGGAATTCCAGGGGGACAACCAGGATTTACACCAGCTGGGAGCTGTTCTTTCTACCTCGAGCATTATATTCCCACCTTAAGAAAATACACTAAAAAAATAACCAAAGGCCAAAAACCCTGGCTTGTTTCCATCTTGACAATGCACAGAAAGGAATTAAACTGCACAAATAAAGTGAATTGAGAGGCTTTAAGAGCTCCAGGTGACGCTTCCCAGGAGCTCAGCACCTTCCTGGGCCATGACTCCGGTGATCCACGAGGAATAGTCTGGAGGCAAACACTGGGATCCAGGGCCAGCCCTGCAGTTTTGAGGTGGAAAGCCAGGCCTGAAGGTTTAAAACTGCCTGGGAGTTGAGGGGTAGAAAAGGGAGGGATTGATTTTTCAGTCTGCTCCGAGCTGCTCTGATTCCCCACTCCTGAGCCATCCTCTGGAGCCTGAGGGCTTGTTTTCTTTGGGAATCAGGATTGTCCTGTGGGCACAGGAGGATATTAAAAAAAAAAAAAAAAACAAACCTGAAAATATGAATTCTGCAGTCAAAATCTCAAGAGGCTTTGATACCACACAGGACATAACAGAGGCTTGGGGGTCTGGGGAGAACCTCCAGCAGCACTGAAAAGTATCCCTTTCTGGGGATATGATTCCATCCTATCCTTGTCCTATTCCTAGTCCTATTCCTTGTCCTATCCCTATTTCTTTCCCTATCCCTATCTTGTCCCCAATCCTATCCAATTCCATCCTATCCTGCCCTATCCCTATCCCACCCTACCCTACCCTATCCTTTCCCTATTCCTATCCCATTCCTACCCCTACCCCGCCCCATCCTCCCCATTCCTTGAGTTTCTGGGATGAACTGGCACGAGTCAAACCTCTCTGGCTCAGGAACACACAAACCTCCCTTCCCCGTGACTCCCAAACCCCCTCGTTGAACAAACCAACCAAATCAACCCAAACATCAACCCCTCTGCTCTCAGGTGGGGGGGAAACGAAGGATTTTGGGGGTAACTGTTGATTCTCTCCACAGATTCCACAGTGGAGAGTTACCTGGCGGGGTGTGACCCCCCTTTGCCCACATCCCCTCGCCCCCCCAAGCCCCCCAAGCGCTCCCGGGCCGCCTTCTCCCACAGCCAGGTGATCGAGCTGGAGAGGAAATTCAGCCACCAGAAGTACCTGTCAGCCCCGGAGAGAGCCCACCTGGCCAAGAACCTGCAGCTCACCGAGACCCAGGTGAAGATCTGGTTCCAGAACCGCAGGTACAAGACCAAGAGGAAACAGGTGATGGCCCGGCCGGACTCTGCCCTGGGGGGGCACAAAGGGGCAGAGCTGCCGGGGGCATCGCTGCTGGCCCTCAGGGCAGCCTGGCCCTACCTGCCCTGCCTCTACTACCTGCATGGCTGGAGCCCCTCCTGGTAGCAGCAGCTTTTCTTTCCTTTTTTTTTCTTTTTTTTTTTTGGTGGTTTTGTTTTTTTTTTTAAGCAGAAAACATAATTTTTTTCGCTTTAAATCCCGGGCGTGGTCGTGTCGCCCTTTCTAAGCGCTGATTAGGGGAGGGATTCTCAGTAACGGTGTCTTCTGCACAAACCTCTTGTCACTGACTGTAAAAAAAGCCAAACCAAACCAAACAAACAAAAAAAAAGAAGCCAAAAAAGCCCAAGGTTTTAAGTGTTTGAGCATGAAATTAAAGCATTTTGTTCATCCTGTTTTATTGCAGCTCTGGCTGCCCCATCCCTGGAGGTGTCCAAGGGCCAGCTTGGAGCAACCTGTGCTAGTGGAAGGTGTCCCTGCCCGTGGTAGGAGGTGGAATGGGGTGGTTTAAGGCCCAGTCCAAGCCAAACCATTCCAGGATTCCCAAATCTGCAGCTTTCAGGGGCAGAAAGGGCTGGTCCAGCCCCACAGAGAGACAGCAACTGCCCCTCTCTGCCCCTCCTACCCCCCCTTTGCCAACCACCTGCTGCAAACTGCTGGTGCTGGGCTGGATGAGCTAAAAACCAGGCTTAAAAATGATTAAAAAAGCCCCCCAAATCGCCTTTCTGCCGTCAATAGCACAATTACAATAACCTTAGAGCTGCCCTGTGCCCCGGGGAAGCTCCACAGGGCCGTGAGAAGCCAGAGCAGGGACGGGGACAATGGGGCACTGACAGATGAGTTTTGCATATCCGGGTGTTGGCCCTGCTGGAACATTCCCTGCCTAAAGCAGCAGCAGCAGCAGTTCCAGGAGTTCAGCTCTCCCAGCAGCTGTTTGAATTGAAACAGAATTCCCTGTTTTCAGGTGAAACCTGGGGGTCGGAACCCCACGGGCTTTATGGCCCCTTCCAACCCCAAACCCTTCCAGGGTTATGAGAATCATTCCCAATTCAAGAGGATGATCCCACAAGTCATTTTTAGGGAATCAACTCCTATTTGCACTACCAAAAAAACCCAAATATTTTTATTTTTTAACTTAAAACTCCACCAATTCCATGGGAAAAAATAGAACCTTCTGAAATGAAAACCCAAGGAGGTTTCTTCCCCTGTGAACACCTCCAAAAAAACATTCCTACAGTGCCCCCTTTTTTTTTTTTTTTTTTCCATCAGGGAATTAATAATAATCTCAGTGCTCCTCCTGCAGCAGGGAAATACAGACAATTAAATGACTTTGAGAAACTGCTTGGATTTGTCCCTTTTCAGAGGGTTTTTTTGGGAACTTCTCTGGATCTTGCAGCTCCCAGAGCAAAGGCAAAACTGCTGGGGGGTGGTGGGAGGCAAAATTCCAGGGAAGGGAGTCGAGGGAGAGGAGAGAACACACAAACTGGAGCCCTTTGCAGGAGATACCAATTTTCTCTTGCTATCAAAGCTTCTCTCCGAGTTTGGAGGACACTCAGTGGCTTCCTAATTGCCTCAAAGTAACTCTTAATATCTCCAGATAACATTTTCCTCCCTGCTGCTGCCTGGGTTTTTAGGGGTGGAAGGACATCTCCCCTCTGCTGTTGCAATGTTTCAAACCCTGCTCTTTTATCCACTTACCCACTCCTTGGGACAACAAAAAAGCTCTTTATGGCCTCAAAGCCGGGCACAAGCACCCCCCTGAGAGCACCTCCCGCAGGATTCCCACACCCAGAGCCTTGGGACGCTGCTTAAATCGATGATGTTTGCACTAAATCCACCGGACAACAGCCCTGAGCATCCCCTGGAGGGGGATCCCCGTGTCCTTTGCACAGGCAGGGATGGGAACCTTACACTGGGAAGGGCTCGCCTGGGCTGGGAAAAACGAGATGCAAGCTCTGAAAATGAGATAGAAACCGAAAATCAGATGTAAACTGAATTTCTTGGATGCTTCTTTGGGAAAATGCTTGTGTCAGAGCTCTTTTTTTTATTATTTCTTTTCTCCTCGTGCTCCAGATCCCAACTGCTCCCCCCAAAACTTCGCTGCTCCAGTGCAAATAGTTGCTATTTTTGTATGTATTTTTTTTTAAATACTGTTTTATCTGATGCTGTTTTATTACCCTTTGGAATAAAGAGAGCAGAATGTTGGCTCAAAAACCTCTGAGTGTTTTTATCTCTGTGGTTTTTTTATCTTGGGTTTTGGGGTTTCTTTTCCCCTCCCCCAGCACCATCTCAGGTGGTTCTGCAGGTGGAAAACCATCACCCATCCCTAATTTGAGGTGCTCAGCCCCCAAATCCTGCCCCATCCCTCATCCAGTGCCCTCTGATCCTATTCCAATCCTATTCCAATCCTATTCCAATCCTATTCCAATCCTATTTCCCACCCCTCGGGCACGACACAGGTGAATATTTCCCAAAAAGGAAGAGCTTAGAAGTGAAGTATTTTCTTCATCACCCCCAAAATTGATTATAAATGCCAAAATTTCAGCACAAATCCCAGTGGTCCCCAGGGTTTTGCACCACAAGGACCGGTCCCAGTTGTTCCTGCTCCTGCCTCCCAGTCCTAAAATCCCAGTCAGGGCCATTTGGGCTCTTTGGGATCATAATAAGGGGAATTTATTCTGGGAGCTGCTCCTGGCAGCTCTTCCCAAGTGGAAAGGGAGTTGGAATCGCTGCCACCGTTCCCAGTTTAATTTATTACCATTAATATATATAATAGATATTTTATATATATATATCTCCCTTTCTATATTATAAATTATTGGTATGATTGTTGACTTATTAATAATGTATCATTAATACAATTATTATAACTTTATGGTGATTTATTGTTAATATAATGAATCCTATAGGTTTATTACGTTTTATTATAATAAATAAGTTTAAAATATTTTAAGAGAAAGAAAAACCAAAGCAGGTATCAAATGAGGGGTTTGCATCCCAAAATTCCCAGCGTCAAGTGGGGTTTTTTTTGTGGATACAAGACACGCTTCCAGTTGGTTTTTTTTTATTTTTTTTTTTTTATTTTTTTTTTATTTATCCCCAAGCACAAAAAGCGAGGGGGCTGAACCGTTCGGGGGCACATCAATCCCAGCTCGGGGCGAGCCCGTGGCAGGAGCTTCCCGGCCACAAATACCCCTCTTGATTAATAGAGGAGAGGAAAACGCCACCCCGGAGCTGCGGGGACGTGGAGTTTTAATGGGCATTAACGAGGCAGAACCGCTGTTTGTCCCCCCCTCCAGAGTGGGAACAGAAACAGTCGGTTTAATATCTGTCAATTAGTGTCGCGCTCCGCCGCCAGCGCATCCATCAGGATTAAAGAGTGTCCACAACGCCGCCCGCTGCCAAATCGCTGCGTTAAAGCTCGGAAAGAAAGGTAGGGAAATAAAGCAAAATAAAATAAACTAAAAAAAAGAGAGGGAGAAAGAAGGCTGACAGCGGATAATGTAACTGTTGACTAACATTTGCATGCAATAAAACCGCATTCTTGGCAGGGAAACGGGGGGGTTGGAGCCAAGGAAAAGCTCCTGCTGGACCCACGCGGGGTTTGAAACGCCGAGCGGTGGGAACAGCCGAGCAGGGAGTTCAGGAGGGGGTGGGAAAGGCAAGGACAGCCCCGTGCCCGCAGTAAAGGGGAGGTTTCTTGGAGAGGAGAGCGGGAAAACTCTCGGCGAGGAGCGCTGGGATGAGCCCTTGGGGATGCGTGGATGCTTCCCGAGGAGGGGGAGAGCGAAGCCAAAAGGACGCCCTTTTTGTGGCTCTCCAGAGCCCACTTTGATCGAGCGTTTGCTGCAGGGAGAGCTGAATCCCTCTGGTTCTCCTGCTGCCCCGGGGGAGTTGGGCTCTCCCTCTGCCCCCAGAGCTGGCAGGGACAGCAAGGACACGAGGGAGGCTCCCAGTGCCGCGGGACATTCCCACTGGATGGTGCTGGAGCAGGGGAGGACCAGCAGAGGCAGTGGGGGAGGATGCTCACAGGGCTGGAGTTGTGGGTTTCTTTTTTTCCCAGTGCTGTTCCCACTGAGGGCTTTTCCCAGCACTAATTTTTAGGATTTCCAAGAGGTGCCAGCCTTGCACCGTCTCCCCCAGCAATTCCTTCCATCCAGAGCCTTTGGGGACAACCAGAATTCCAGAAAAGCAGGTGGTGTCACCTCAGAGCGAGGCCTGTCCCCCTTTGACCACACAACCCCTCCCGAGCCTCCCAGAGGGACATTCCAAGATTTTAAGGGTGTTTCCAACACAGTTTGATTTTCCACCCTGTGCAGGGAACAGGTTTGGGTCACCCAAACCTGGCAGGGCTGGGTCAGGGACCTCAGGGGAGGGGAAAGGCATCCTGTCCTGAGGAAGGGATCCCATCCTGAGAAAGGGATCCCATCCTGAGAAAGGAATCCCATCCTGAGAAATGGATCCCATCCTGAGAAAGGGATCCCATCCTGAGAAAGGGACCTTTTCCTAAGGAAGGGATCCCATCCTGAGGAAGGAACACTCCTGAGAAAGGGACCCTGTCCTGGGGAAGGGATCTTGTCCCAGGAAAGGAACGCTCTCCCAGGGAAGTGACCCCGTCCTGCAGAGCCCCTGCTACTGAGAGGAGGTAAAATCAGGGATCTTTGCTCTCTGGAAAAGCCTCCCAAGGTACTTTTCCACCATCCCTGGGCCTCCCAGCCCAGCCCAGCCCCGGGGTCCTGCTCAGAGCAGCCCGGAAAGCGAAGGGATCAGCCCAATCCCTCTGCAAACACGGCCTGGGTGGAGCTCCCAGGGCTCCTCAGCACTCCCAGCAGAACAAATGGCTCCGTTCCCCGGGAAAAGGCACCGGCTGGGCTCTCCCAAAGCCATTTTTCATTCTCCTGGGGGATGGCAGCGCTCCTGGAGCGGGGATTTGGAGGGTTTGCAAAGAGCAGGGGAACCCTGGGGTACACCCAGAGCAGCTTCCCCTGCAGGAGCGTGTCCAGGGGCTCTGCAACATATATTATTATATATTATTTATTTATTACAGAACTCATTTTTAACATAGATTATTATATATTATTTATTTCTTTATTATAGAACCAATTTTTAATGTATATTATTATATGTCATTTATTTATTTATCCTAGAACTCATTTCTAACATAGATTATTACATATAATTTTTTATAGAACTCATTTTTACACATATTATTATATAGAATTGATTTATTTATCTATTATTATAGAACTCATTTTTAGCATAGATTATCATATATCATTTATCTATTTATTATTATAGAACTAATTTTTTACATTTATTACTATATTTTATTGATTTATTACAGAGCTCATTTTTAACATATATATAATTAATTACTTATTTATTAATTGTAGAGCTCCTTTTTACATATATGACTATATTTTATTTATTTATTTAGTTAGTTAGTTAGTTAGTTATTCTAGAACTCATTTTCTTCGGGGCACCAAAATCTACTCATTTTTCACCCATTTTCTCCCCCCCTTGTTTCCACCCCCTCCACCAACAACCTCTGGGTGCCAATTAAAAAAAAAAAAAAAAGCCCAATATTTCCCTTTCCTCCCTGCTGAGCTTTTTTTGCTGGGTGTCAACAGCACCTCAACCCTCCTCACCCTCTATTTGTGCTACTGAAAGGAGGAATTACTGCACTATTTATATATATATTTATATATAACTCCTCTCCTTTGCAAAGCAGCCCCGGGGACATCAATCCCCGAAGGTTTTTTCTCCTTCCCACTTGCTGAAAACACCTCAGGGGCAGAGCTTTAAAGCAAATAAAATAATAGGAAGTTGAAAATGGAGCTGATGGATGTGCTGGATGGGTTCGAGGGTTGGGGCAGGGCTGTGGATCTGCAGCCCTGAGAAGGATTTTTGGAGGGTTCAGCCTCCTCCCAGCAGCTACAAAGGGATTTTTTTGTTGTTGTTGTGCAAATCAAAGGTGAAAAGGAAAACGGGAGGAAATCCTGGCTCTCCTCTTCCCACCAAAAATGTTCATGTTGAGGCCTCTGAGCTGGAAGCAGAACAGGGGGTGAGTGAAGTGAAGCAAAACGATGCTGTGAGGGTGGAGATGATGTATTAGAATGGGGGATTTCCTTAATTCCAGGCCCAAAATGCCCCAAATTGGCACCGTTTCAGGCTGGAATTCCACCCAGCTCCTCCCCAGGCTGGACTTGGCCACGCCAGGACACTCCAGGACAGCTTTACACCTGCAGAAAACACTTACCTGCTCCCCAAACAGATGGCTGGCCTGTTGAAAGGAATTAAATCCCGTGGCTAAATGCAAATGTTTTTATTGCCTTTGTGGCCAATTGTGGCGAGAGTTGAGACAGAGGGGGGAAGGTGTGGCCGGAAAAACCTTTCCCTCCACGGGCTGTGTCGTGTCCTCCAAGGCAAACAGGCAGCTTCAATGAAATTTGGGGAGGGAAAAAGGTGAGATGTTTGTCTTCATGTTCCTTTCCCCCACCCCATGCTTTTAGAGCAGAAACAATATTTGAGGAGAAACAAAAGATAACGATCGGATGCGGTGAACAAACACGGCCCAGATCCTGGATTAACCAAGTGGCTCCCAAATCCCAGCTCCAGGCTTGTGGTGGCACAGGGAGGGCACCCACATCCCACCCTGGGGGCACCCCCTGCAGGGTCCTGGATCCCTGGAAGCGTCCAAGGCCAGGTTGGAGCACCCTGGGATAGTGGAAGGTGTGGAATCAGATCACCTTTAAGGTCCTTTCCCACCCAAACCATTCCAGCATTCCATGATTTCTCCCTCCAAGCCATCACAGTTACCACTTAATTCTTTCCCCTTCCCTTCTTCTGCTTGTCTTGTTCACTTGCAGACCCCCCCAGGAATAAACACCAGGTGGGAATTTTTTTCACTGCAAGGAATCCTGCAAGTTTAAGGAGTCACCAGGGTCTCTACCACAACTAAATCACATTAAAAACACCCCCCCCAAGAGATATTTACACAACAATCTGTCCTGGTGCCAGAGGAACCATCAGTGTCAATTAGAAAACGGGATTCATTCCCAGGGCAGAGACACCACCCAGCCCCGAGGGGACAGAGGTGTCACAGCTCTTGGAAGGGCCACAGGCCAAGGGGTGGCACCTCCAGCAGCTCATTCCTCCTCCTGGCCATCCCCAAAGTTTCATCAAGAATTCCTCAGCAGGATCTTGGGGGGGTTCTTACAGGTCCTTTTCCTCTCTAATCCCTCTTTTTTCCTCCTTCTCACCTCTAATAATCCTGCCAGAACCTCTTGGTCCTGCCTGAGAAATCAGACTTTGAATAGATAAAAAAAAAACCCACCAAACTTGGGCCAAAAAATAACCCCCAAAAAGATGAGGAATTCCTGCTTATGCACCTGTTCCAGCCTTAGGAATGCTGTGGTACAAAGGAGGCTGCTCAGGCACCACAAATCCCTGGGAGGAACCAGGAGTGTTTCCCACCTGGAGCTGAAACATTCCCCCCACAATGGAGATCTCATCATTTCCATGTTCTGGTTAAAATTCCCATTTTTCCCCCTTTAAAGCCCACCATAAGGACCCCCCCACTGGCCCCAAGGAGAGGTTTTATCCCTCAGATTCTCAGGATGCTGCTCAGCCCAGTTCCCAGGGAACTCCTCCTCCCTCAGCACTGAAACCGCACCAAGAAATGTGGTTTATTTTCCCTTTCTATTCAAGTCTTCTGGGGTTTTCCCTTCAAATTCTGCGGGAAAACAAGTGAAACCTCAGCAACTGCAGCTCCTCAGGGCCTTCACTTTATCCAAGAGAGAAGTGGGGAAAAGAAAACCTGCGATTTGGGAATTCCCTGAACAAGCCACAAGTCTGCGGGTTCGGTTTGGGAATCCCAGCAGCGATTCCTTGCCAGGAGCAGGACCGTGTTCCAAAACTCTCCAGCGGCTCCTAGAGGAGGGTGAGCCCTTCAGGGGAGAGTTGGCAGCTCCTGCCAGGCTGGAAAACCCCTCCCTTCCCGAAGGATTTTCCTCCTCCGCTGATGACGCGAGGGATGGAGGAGCTGAGCCTGCCAAGTGCTCGGGCAACACTAGAAGGCACCATTCCCTCAGGGATCAACCTGCCACCCCCTCAGCTCCCAAGGAAAACCAACCCCCGCCTCAAAACACGAGCCCAGCAGCACAAAAATCAGGATATTTTATTTCCTCGAGCTCCAGTGATACAACTGTAGCAGCATTTCACAAAAAAAAAAGAAAAAAAAAAAAACTCCTGCATTGTTAAATACGCCTCGAAGAGAGAACACTTTTTCTCTTTTTGCAAAAAGAAACAAAACACAAAAAAAAAACCCCCAAACAACAACAATAAACAATACAACTTAAGAACTGCCAAGTTCCTCGTCCTCCTCCCCCTTAAATAACGAGTGATGTGCGTTTTTTTTTCTGGCAGAGGAAGAAGCAGCAGCAGCAGCACGGGTTTCACAGACCACAGGCTGAAAGAAAACGTCAGGCTCAAAAAGCTCAGCTTTCAAATGCAAAAAGAAGGGAGGAAGGGGGATCCAGCCTCAGGAAAAGAGACCTCTGGAATTATTATTACACCAGCTGGGCTGGTTTTGTGGGATAGGCAGAAAGGCAGGGAGAGCTTGATAAATGTCCAGGTGCTCCTTATCCATTCCCAGCTTGAGGAAGAGCAAATTCCGCGCCCTCCCCCACCCCAAAAATGGGGTTTAATTAATAACTATTTGTTGATAATTATTAATTATTCATGCTCAACACTCAGGAGGTTCCCATGCTCTCCCCTCCCCAAGGAGATGCTCAGCTGGCCAAAAAAAAAAAAAAAAAAAAACCACTTCAACCAACATCCCAACTTCTCCACAGGCAAATCCAGGCTCTGTGTCCCAGCACTCCAAGCAGGAGCTGAGGCTCTCCCAGGACACCAAAGGTGAAGGCAGAAATATTCAAGCAGCAGCCAGAGGAAGGGGATGATGCAGGAGGGACCAACCACTCCACGTTTGGCTCCTGAACTGGCACTAAAAGCCGCCAATCACCCACATGATGCTACAATTTGCCTCTTTAGCACTCCAGTGACCCCAAAACCTCATCTCCACGGAAACACTCAGTGCAAAACCAGGGGCCTCGAGCTGAACTTCTCCACTTTTAAGACACAGGGTGAGTTTGACACAGTGATTAGTTCAGTTTAAGGCCAAAAAAAAAAAATAAAGCATCGTCAAGAAAAGCTATTTTCACCACCAGTGGTTCATTTACACAAGGCACAGAGAGGAGCTCTTGGATTTACCTTCTCCCCAAAAAAAACCCAAAACAACAGAGCAGAGAGGGATTAGATGGGGTTAGTGTCATCCCAAGGAACACAACTGGCTGGTGGGACGCTCCAGGGGCACATCCCAGTCCTAAAGCTGCTCCCAAAGCCACATCCCAGGGTGCAGAGCAGGGCAGTGATGCTGCAGCTGGCAGGGCAAGTCCCAGAGAGGGTGGAGATGGACCAGCTGGTGCCCTGTAACCTCTATTTACACATCCAGGCTCCTCAAATCCCTCCTGGATCACCCAAGGGGCGGATTTGGGCTTGGAAGAGCCTTTCCCAGGAGGAGCAGGGCACACAGGGAGGCTGCCACAAAGCCCAGCATTCCCAGAGCTGGAAAAACCAAACCCAGGGCACGAGGAACCTCCCCAGGGTGGGGTTTTCTCCCCCTCCCCAACAGAGATGAGCAGCAGATCCTCATCAAACACGGGCTGAGAGGTGGCTTTGGTTCTTCCCCAAGGTTTCTGCTGCTGGTTTGGAGCTGCCAGGATGTGACCCCTGAGACTCAGGGTTCAAACTGTAAACAGAAGCTCCAGGTTCCCCACTCCTTTTCCCAGGAGCAGAGCAGCTCCATGCACCCACCTGGAGCCCAGGGTGGCTGCTGGCAGCAGGGTCAGGGCTTTAGTGAGAAAACTGGGAATAAATTAAGGGAGGATGAAGGTTGTTCAGCTGTCAACACGCCGTAAAAAATGTACCTTTAAAAATAAAGAGCGTCTGCAAAATAAGTACTTTAGAAATCTGCATCTTAAGAGTCTCCTTGTAAAAAAAAAAAAAAAATGGAATCGAGTTTTCCCTTTCAAACCCCCCTCAACCCCAACAAAGTGACCAGGTATTTTGGGGTGCTCCCCCCCAAAATTCCTTCTCTCCCCCATCCCAATGAGTCTCAAGGGGTCACCAAGTACCTGAGGCCCAAGTGAGAATCCAGGCCACCATTTGGGGGTTAAATGCTATAAAATTAAAGCCAATCTGGCTATAAAAATAAATGCTTTTGTTGTCTTCCTCGCACAGGATGGAAGAAATCAGCCCTTTTTTTTTTTTTTAAACAGCTTCACATCCAGCTGTAATAGCTTTTTAAAGAACAACCCAAATGCTTCCATAGAAAAATAAAGGATAAACATTATCCACCTCTTTTATATTTCTATAAAAGTTCTGTGACAGGATTAAAAAAAAAAAAAAAGAACAACAAACAAAAACCAACCCACCCAGCTCAGGTTTGCACAACCCGAGGAAAGGAGTCGACTACACCTTCAAACCTTACCCAGAGAAAAAAAAAAAGAGCAGTTTGCCATTTCCACTCCTCCAAAAATAAAGTTATTAAATATATATATATATATTATTATAAGTCTTTATAAACTTCTTGTTTTAAAGCCACGGGGACCTCCCCTGGGGGATGGGAATCCTCCAGAAACCCGGGCGTGTCCCCTCAGCGGGATGTGCGTCCCAGAGCTGGCTGTGGTGGTGGATGGGGACACACAGAAGGGACACACTGAGGCTCCTGGTCAACCTTCACAAGGATGTTCTCTTCTCCAGCTTGTGCTTTGTGAGGAAGTACTTGAAGAACTCGTACACCGACCAGGCGATGGCCGTCGAGGGCATCTGGTAGATGACGCGGGCCTGCACCCCCCTGAAGAAGCCCGGGAGCCCCCCCAGCCTGTAGACGGTCCTGAAGGCGTTCACCATGCCCGAGAGGTGCCCGCTGATGTTGAGGGAGCTCAGGGCCGTGTTCTCCTGCGTGTTCAGGAGGGTCTTGCAGACGTCCAGGGGGGTGGTGGCGGCGGCGGCCACGGCGCCCGCCACGGCCCCGGCCACGATGTGGGAGCGCGGGTTGTACTCGCGGCGGGGGTTGATGTGCTCCTGCATGAACTCGTAGGTGATGAAGTGGATGGCCTGGAAGGGCACGTTCATGGTCAGCTGGGTGGTGTAGCTGCGGTAGAAGGCCCCGAAGCCCTCGGTCCTCTGCACGGTCCTCACGCAGGACAGCACCGACTTGTACGGGGAGTTGAACATCTGCATGCGCTGCTTCACCACTGGCAGGGCGGGCGTGGGGGGAAAAGAGAGGGCTGTGAGCTCAAACAGAGCTGTGCTGCTCGTCTCAGAGCCCAGACTGAGCCCAGCTCCAGCCACAACCACCCCGACACAGCCTCGCCCTCCGCGGCCAAACTGAGCCACCCAGAGCCAACATCTTCCACACCCCCCAAACTGAGCCACCCAGAGCCACCATCTCCTTCCACACCCCCCAAACTGAGCCACCACCTCCTTCCACACCCCCCAAACTGAGCCACCCAGAGCCAACATCTTCCACACTCCCAAACTGAGCCACCACCTCCTTCCACACCCCCCAAACTGAGCCACCATCTCCTTCCATATCCCCCAAACTCAGCCACCATCTCCTTCCACACCCCCCAAACTCAGCCACCATCTCCTTCCACACCCCCAAATTGAGCCACCATCTCCTTCCACACCCCCCAAACTGAGCCACCACCTCCTTCCACACCCCCCAAACTGAGCCACCCAGAGCCACCATCTCCTTCCACACTCCCAAACTGAGCCACCATCTCCTTCCACACCCCCAAATCGAGCCACCATCTCCTTCCACACCCCCCAAACCGAGCTACTATCTCCTTCCACACCCCCCAAACTGAGTCACCCACACCCAACACCTCCTTCCAAGCCCAAACTGAGCCCCCCAAACTGCCCAGTGCCCCCAAAAATCTCAACACAGTGAGGGAAGCAGGTCAGAGCTCAGCCCCAGCTCTGCACTCCCACGGGCTAATGAACTCCTCTCCTCCAGCTTAATTAATGACCCTTTAGTTCTAGGCAGAAAGGCATTAAGCCAGACTGATGAAGACCCTCAGTGCACAAACACTGGCACACCAAGAGGACAAGGGCAGAAAAGTGAATTAATAACTGTCCCTCACCTGGGAAGTGGAACAGACCTACCTCCAGCCCCACTGACTGGAGCAACTTCCACTCACTCCAGCAAAAGGCCAATTAATTTACTTCATTTCATCAGGGTATAATTAAAAGGATTTGATACGCCAGAGATTTCTTCCCTCAGAAAAACCTGACTCTGGGCCAGCTCAGGAGTGCACTGAGTAGCTGCAGGCCAGATAATTGTCATTTTAGCTGCATTTTACACTGGGAGCCCTCATTTCACTGAGTCCTCTTCAAGCCAGACTTCACCCACCCAGGGAGACACACAGAGAGTCCCTCTGGCTGCTGCACTTGTGCTACAACCACGACAGGAGCTCGGCTTGGTCAGTCCAGAGCTTCAGGAAAAGCAAAACCCACCCCCAAGAAGAAGGGATGGCCCAGGGGGGGTGTCCTGGGTGCTGCCCCAGGCCCAGGGGGTGCAGCCCTGCCCTTCCCAGGGATTTACCTTCGGCAGGGTTCATCACGGCGTCGTGGAGCAGCGTGGCCACGCTCCCAGCTATTCCTGCAAGGCAAGAGCAGCCTTGAGAAAGGGCAGCAGGGCTTGCCCAGGCACTGCCACCCGTGGAGGCAGCTGTGGGAAGCACCCAGTGCCACTGCAGTGACCCCCAGGGACAGGGGAAGCCACCCAGAGCAGCCCCAGGGACACCAGGATCCACTCACAGCCACTATTCCCAACAAATCCCAGGGTTTTGTCCACACCACAACCCCCCTTCCCCAGTGACTGAGACATGAGCAATGTTTGCAACCACCTCAGCACATCCATAATTAGGCCTTTTTTCAGCCCTTTACTCAGCCTGGGTTTAAAACATTAATTGCCCACATTCTGCCAAATCCAACCAGCCATGAAGGATCCTGCAGTTGGCTCCAGGAAGGGCCTCTCCAGCCACACCTTCCCCTTTGATCTGGGTTCCCCACCTCAAATTCCCTCTTGCCCAAATGACTTTTGGTCATTTCTCATTAACCCAGAGCTCCAGTTTTTTTTTTTCCTGCTGGTACCAAAAGCCTGTAGCTACTTGAAAGGCAACCATGGGAAGCCCATTCCTGGCAAGAGGCAGCAAGAAGGAAGATATTCCATTCCCTGAACTCTGGAAGAGAGACCTGCCAAGCGCTCCCAGAATCCCAGGACACGACAGGGGTGTCAGAAGAACGAGGTGACCACCGAGAAGGGCTCAACCCAGGGGCAGGTGCCACCTCTGCCCACCTGCAAAGCTGGCCTTTGCCTCCTGCCTGGAGCAGATATTCCAGGGGCAGAGCACGGGGAAGCAAGAGAAGGACAGGCTGATAGAACCCACAAGCAGGGTGAGAGGGGTGACAAACCTCCCCCCTCCCAAAATACCATTGGCCAGGTGGCTGTTTCCTCCCTGCTGCAGGGTGTCACTGAGGGACTTTTTCATTTTCTCATAGCAGGCAAAGTACATGGCGTGGGCGGGGCCAGCCCCCAGCATGGTGACATTAATCCCACGTAACGGCCTCCAGAGCCCCTCAGTGAGGACAATCCTCTTCAGGGCTTCGTACACGCTCCTGTACTGGGCTTTGGGGTCCGGCTGCAAGCTCTGCATCCTTGTCTGCAACAAAGCACACGGAGGGAGAGGCCTTGGTTACCCGGCTTGCAGGCACGAAATCTGAGAGCTCAGAGACTTCCCAGAGCTTTTGGGGGTCAGTTGGGTCCCCCACGCCAAGGCCAGGGCGCTGCTGATGCCACCAGATCAAGTCCACGCTCCCGTTGCGACACCAGGGGGAGGGAATGTGTGACCTCTGCTCCTGTTTATCCATGGAAAGCCCAAGGAATCAAGCTGGCGTGGTTGTTCCGAGTGAAGAAATAACACAAGTTAGGTCTGTAATTGCCTCTTGCTTCACAACACCCCTGACTCTGCCCCGGCTTGCCTGCCCTGCAGTGGCTCAGCAGCTTGTGACGCTCCTTTGGGCAACAGGGTTCCTAGAAGGGCAACCTGAGGGAGCTGGGAATGCACAGGAACCCCCTCCCAGGAGGGGATAAAGGCAGAGCCAGAGGGTGACAATGTCCCCCAGCAGCCTGGAGGGTCCTCCACCCCATTTCCCCCACTCCAGTAAATCCTGACATTGAGATGCCCAAAAGTCCTTCCCACTGCGACACTGGAAGGGGCTGCCCTGGAGGAGGAGGAGGAAGAGGAGGTGGAGATCCCACCCCCTGGAGGTGTCCAAGGAAGGGCAGGACATGGCACTTGGTGCCAAGGGGCACAGTTTGGGCTGGACGCTCTGGGAGGGCTCTTGTGGCCGATCCACCCCCGTCCCACCGAAACCAGATGAAGGGATACGGCCCTTGGTGCAGCCCTCACACCTGGAAACGCAAACACTGGGCTCCTGGGAAAGCCACAGCCACGGGAAAAGGGTGCTCAGCCACCTGCAGCTCCGTGCACTGGATGATTTTTCCAAGGAGAAGCTGGGGAACTGCAGCAGGAGGTGACGGGGGGGATCCCTGCAGCTCAGCTGGCCAGGCAGGAGGTCACTAAAATCCACCTCAGGTTTGAACTCTCGAGTCTCTAAAACCCACCCCAGGCACTAGAAAGCAACAAGCACTTTCACCCACACCCTGGGAGATCAAGGAAGGGATCAGAGCCGAGTTCAGGACTTTAACCCAGGATAATAAACCCAAGGTGGGTTTACACGAGGCCAAGCCAAGCAAATGGCTGTGTCTGCAGCAAACACTCTGAAACAAAATCCCCCAGGAATTCTCTGCAGAGGGCAGCCAGTGGAATTCCAGACTCCAGCATCAGCTGGCACTCATGAAAGGCATCACCCCACAGCAGGGAATTTGGCAGCCTCCAGCAAAGCTTCCTGTTCCACAGCCCTGGATCCTGTGAACAGCACTGCAAATAAACCCAAAGGCTCCCCAAAAACACTCCTGGGAAGGCAGCAAAGCACTGAGCATCCACCAAGCCATGGATGCTCCTCCTCCTCCTCAGGAAGGGCTGGATTTTTGTGGTGCCCTTGGGGGAAAATCCCCACTGTCAGCATGACTCAGCAGGACCCACCTCTTCCAAGCTGCTTCCACCTGGGATTTGGGCTGGAGTTTTGATTTCTCTGCCAGTTTTGACTTGAAGGCATCGCTGTGAGCCAGCAGGTCCCAGTCTGTCACTGGGATGCCCGGGAAGCAGCAAACACCAGTTCTATCTGGGGGTTTGTTGGGAATTAACCCCAGGTATTTCCACCCCCACTTCAGCCCAGGACCTCCCTGTACCTGCTAAAACCCCACAGAGCCACAGGAAAAAAATCAATTTACAGGCACCCCATGCCCCAGCCTGGTCAGGAGCAGGGCAGGTTTTCATGGGGCAGGGATGTCACATGGGGATAAATATCAATTTAATTTTTGGGGTGAGCTGAGCCACCCTAAAGGGGTTTTCAAAACTCACACCACAGCCCAGAGCAACCCACACACAGGCTGCAGTTTGAATCACCACCAGCACAGCCTGGCCTGCAGCTGGAGCTGTGGAAGAAACAGGACAAACAGCCCAAGGAGAAGCCCAAAACCAGGATTTGACAGGCAAAGAACCCAAAGAGTGGCCAAAGCCAGGATTAAACAGGATGAGCAGCCCAAGGAGCAGGCAAAGGCAGAGCTGGGAGGTGAGAAGGAGCTGCACTTTATCAGGTGTGAAGGCTGAGGATCTGCCCTTGCCCTCCCCAGCTCCTGTCACCTATCTGAAGCCAACAAGCCGCCCCAGGAGCCTCACCCCCTGATAACCAGCCAAGAAATACTTCTCCACCTACTTAAATTAATCCTCCTTGCATAAGGCAGGAGTGCACAGGCAACCAACCACAAGAACCCTGGTAGTCCTGCTTTCCAGCTTGGGCATTAAAAAAACACCAAAAAACCAAACACCTACCACCCAAAAGTGCCAGGTTGTGGGTTCACCCAGTGACCTGCTGTTTTTCTTTCTTCCCTCTTTTTTTTTTCCCCTCTCTCCTCCTGAACACAACACGCTTTTTCCGAGTTCACGTGACGGGAGCAGCCTAACAAAGGCTCAGAGAACACAATATGCCTTCACCAGGAAATCAGCAGCGTTTCTGCAGCAGATCCCTGCTGGCTGGAGAAGGCACCAGCTCCAAATCCCCCCTCATTTTCAGGGGGTTTTTATCAGCTGGAACAGCTGCCAGCTGAGCTTGTGGCACCCAGTTGTGGGTGGAAACACCCACGGGAGGGTCAGTCAAACAGGTCATCTGTGACTTTTGCAGCGCCTCAAACGCCATCTCTGAGCTGGAACAAGAAGAGCTGCTCCTCACCTGGGGTGGGGATGCAGAACCTGCCACCACCAAAAGCCTAAATAACCACAGAGCCCAAAGAAACCGGGGTCACACAGCTCCCTGCTGGGCTCTCAGGACCTTAGGGACAGGCAGGGAAGCTCCAAAGTGTGACTGAGCCACTGAAATCCTCAATCCTCACCCCATCCCCTCCCAACGAGCCCTGAGCTCGTCCTCCATCCCCTTTCTGGCATGGAGGGAGATGTTCCTCCCAACCTTCACCCCAGCAGGTCTGGGACAGCACAGAACCTCCTGTACCTGCTGTCAGCACCACACACACGGGAAAAGTCAGCTTCCAGACATCCTGTGCCCCCAGCTGGGTCAGGAGCAGGTCAGGCTCTCCTGGAGAAGCAGCTTTTTGTCCCCAGTGCCACTGCAAGAAGGGAGGTTCCAGCCCTGCAACGCCTCCAGCTTCTCCCTGAGCTCTGTCCCATCACCAATTACAGTTCCCAGGGGTGGACAACTTTCCTCACATCCTCCAGGGGTGTTTTCACATCCTGTGGGGAACCAGCACCAGCAGAGAAATCACCCCATGGATGATCCTCCCCAAACTCCCCTGCGGAGCCCTCGACACGCTGATCTCCCTCCAGTCAATCTGCAGATGGATCAGCCTTCCCAGGACAGCTTCTTGCAGCAGCTCCAAGCAAAACAAGGCCCAGCACTGTGAGAAACACCATCAGCACCCAGCTGAAAATCCCAAATCCCAGCCAGGGTGGCAACACCCCCGGTGTGTTAAGGGGGCAAAGACAAGAGGCTTACGGGGGTAGGCGAGGCTGGAGCTCCTCAGGCTTTACCTGAGGGTAAAAAAGATGCCATTTACCATTCAACATTTTATCCAATGGTGGAAAAATGGAGTCAATTCAGATGGGATACCGGGGAGAAATTCCTCCCTGCGAGGGTGGGGAGGGGCTGGGATGGAATTCCCAGAGCACCCGTGGCTGCCCTATCCCTGGAAGTGCCACCTGGGATAGTGGAAGGCGTCCCTGCCCATGGAATGGGATGGTTTAAGGTCCCTTCCCACCCACACCACTCCAGGATTCCATGACTCTCCCACCAAATTCCACCGTTTCCAGTTTCCAAGCAGAGGAAATGACTTGCTGGAACCAAAACATTCCCTTTTCCCAGCACGCCTCTCCCTGCAACATCCAACAACCCCCAACCTCCTCCAGACCCTGCTCTGCCATCCCCAAGCCCAGGAACTGTTTTCCACTCACTCCCATCACAAACAGAAAAGCCCTTTTTGGGGTCAAAAAGAAAAGAAAAAGCCATTTTTAAGGGTCGGATCTCACCTTTTCTCCCCAGAGCAGATGGACAGAGCAGCAGTGGGAGCAGGACCCAAGCCTGGAGCTCAGGGTTTTAGTGCCTCACACACACACACAGAGACCTTGGCCGCGCTCCACGGGAGTTTTCCCGCAGCCAGAGCATTTTTATCTGCTCCCAAACACTCCAAGGCACTTTGCTGAGCTGGATGACTCCCAGCCCAGGGCACAGCCAGGGAATTCACAGCCCAGTGCAATCAGGGCTTTGCTTTTCCTCCAAAGCACCTCCTGCTTCAGGAAACGGGGCATCACTTTCGTTTTCTCCCTGCCCTTTCCCCCCCCACCCCCGCAGAGGAAATGCCCTCAAACAGCTTCTTAATTTCCCAAACAGCTCCACAGCCCACTCAAACAGCTCCATAATCCCTCAAACAGCTCCACAGCTCGGCAGGGATGGGGCAGAAAACCCCGGTTTTGTTTGGTGTGAATCGCTGGTGCCACACTCAGAGTGTGTCCCCTCCCTGTCACAACCCAAATTTACCAGCAGGGCCAGACCCAGAGGGATAACACAGAAATAAAAAAAAAAAAAGAAAACAGGGAATATTTTCCTTTGGGTGCTTAGCACTGCAGTGCCCCAAAGCCAAGGCAATTCCTCTCCTCTGCTCTTTCTACTCTTTCAGGGAGCTCTGCGTGGAGAAGAGGAGGAATTAGAGCATCTTCTTGTCTTTCCTGCTGAACACCAGGGATCCATCCACACCAGCACAACACAGGGGGTTTGGTTTTTCCCCAATCTTTCCTCTTTTTTAAGGGCCCAAGAGCAGCAAGCTGGCAGCCCAAGCTGGCAGGGCAGAGGGGGGAATCCCCTTGCTGACGCTTCCTCCCCCACGCTGGGAAGCTTTCCCTGGCAGACTTATCCACACTCCCACCTTTCCCGCACCCCAACATCCCTTGAAACAGTTCCCCCTCTGGGATCCCGACAGTTTTACCCCGCACCCCAAAACCGCCTGGACACTCCTGCCTGTCCTGCTGCACCCCAACACCCCTTACACACTCCCCACCCCTCTTCTTGCACCTCCAACAACCCCTCTGCACCCCCATTTACGCACTCCCTGCACCCCAACGCTGCTCGCACCCCAAACAACCCGCTGCCCCCCGGCACCCCACGCGTGTTCTCCCAGACCCCCATACACGCACCTCCGGAGCATCCTGGACCCCCAGACCCCCCCGCACATCCCTGGTACCCCCCGACTCCATCGCCGGTACCCCGGGCGGGCACCCCCGGAGCATCCCGGGCACCCCCGGAGCATCCCGGGGCACCCCGGCACCCACATTCCCGCTACACCCCGGGCACCCCCGCGGATGCCCCCGCGTCCCCCGCCCCAGCAGGCACCTTGACCGAGTCCACGGGGTACATGACCGTGTGCTCCATGATTCCCGCCACCGCCCCGGCCACCATGTGCGTGCCGAGCGCGGCGCCGCTGGGCAGGCTCTCGTACTCGTCCCCCTCTGCCACGGCGGGGCCGGGGGGCGGCCCCGGCCCCGGGGGCGCTGCGGGGGCGCAGCTCAGCTCCATGTGCGGGGGGAAAAGGGGGGGGGACACAACGCGGGGCCGCGGCGGGGCCGGGCGGGCACAGGGACCGCGCGGAGCCCCCGCCCCGCTTTAAAGCCGCGCCCCGCCCCGCCCCGCCGCGCTCATTGGCTGCTTTTCCTGCACGTCACGAGACTGGCAGCGGAAAGGACGAATGGTAAAGAGAGCTGGCGGAATGAAGAGTAACGATTGGCTGAGCGGTTGGGAGGGGCGGGCTCGGTGAGGGGACGCGCGGTCCTAGAGCCCGGCTGCGGGTTGGCTCGGGGAGGGCGCGGGAATTGCGCTGGAATTGCGCTGGAATTGCGCGGGAATTGCGCGGAAGATGCGGCGCCCCGGCTCCGAAGAGTGCTTTGGGGTGGAAAACGCGCTGTCAAAAGCGTGGGGGATATAGGCGTGGTGTCCTCAGGAGGAAAGAAAGTCATGAAATGGAATGATAAATAAAGGTCGTAAATAAAAATAATAAATAAATAAAACAAAATAATAAGTAAATAAAGATCACAAATAAAAATAATAAATAAGTAAAAATAATAAATAAAATAATGATAAATAAAATAAAGCCATAAATAAATAAAATGAAATAATCATTGACAATAAAAAAAATAAGTTTGACCCTCTCAGAGAGCAGGAGGCAAAGTCTTTGTGGCCCAGGGCGCTGGGAACGGCCCTGACTTTACTTCATTCCTCCTCAAAGGATTATTTGGAATTCGACCTTGCAGGGAAGGAGGTGTTTGTGGCATGAACTGGAATCAAGGTTAACCATTTCCACGATAATGCAAAGCAATTTATTGCTGAGTGAACTTTGGGGAGGAAGCAAAACCATCCTCAGAGCCCAGAAATAAAGCAGGAAAGTGAAGTCCCTTTGACAGCACGCAATTTAACCCAAGAATTGCTAAACCTCCCCTTCCTCTCCCCCTGGCAGAAGGCACGGGATTATCACACCTCTGTTTCTTCCTAAGGAGACTAAATCTGTGCTGCTGACACTGCTGGCACCGTGTTTCCCAGCCCAGGTGACATTTTGGAGCAGCAGAGCTGTGTCCCCACCTGTAACCCCGGCAGACAGCTCGCCCCGTGCCTGCCACACACGAATCAGAAGTGGCCACAAGAAACTTCCCCTCCTGTGACTCAAGGAAATGCCTGAAATAAAACTCGCAGGGGGAGCGTTTTCCACTATTGCTCCACCGAGTTTTTATCTGGGTTTTCTACTCCAGAAGCAAGAATCAAAGGCACTAAATCTCCTCCCCTGTGACAGGGCAGGGAGGGGGAATTAAAGTGTCACTTACCCTAATGAGCCCTTTCCCCTGCAGCCTGAGGTCCTGCTCCCTGATAATGCCGTGAATCAGTGTGGAATTGGTGCTGCTTCCAGATAGGAACAGGTTATATTTTAACCCTGGAGCAGTGCCATGAGGAATCCTTTCTGCTCCCGCTGCCAGGGCAGCTCCTCCAGCTGCAGGTGCCCAAGAGAAAGCCCAGATTGAGGGTTTTCCCTGTGTTCATGGAGAAGGGATGAAATTATTTGTTGTTTGTGTGAGGAAAGCGAGGCAGAGAGGCTGCTGTGGGCTGTGGGTTTGCTGTGTTTTGTGTTTTCAGGAGAAGGGACAGCTCTGTGTGTCTTGGATGGTTCCCTGCCACCCCAACCTGGCAAAAGGGAGTCGTGGACAGAGTGAACTCAGCTTCATCTACAAAACCTTCCCTTTGAAACGCTCCTGTGTGCTGATTCCCTGGGTGTGCCCTTCCCAGGGCACCAGCCCTGCTCGGTGAATCCCATCCTGGAGATCCCTGGGCAGCCCCGGCACGGCACAGACGTGAAGTGAAGACACCGGTGGAAGGCTCCTGCTTCCATCAGTCCCTGCCCACAGCAGGTGCCCATCCCCTGGAGCATCTGCCTGGCACCCACAGCTGATTACAGGGCCCTGGGCTGGCTTATCGTGGTCCCTGCTGGGTCAGGAGCTGCAGGACCCACCGGCTGCACCCCCCCAGATAAGGCAGGAGGGGCCAGCTGGGAGGTGGGCACAGGACCTGGGGCTTATCTGCACCCCCACCCACCGGCATACATTTGAATTCTCCCCCTTCCCCCCCACTTTTCAAACCTACAAGTCCTCTGACACCTTGCTGGAGTTTTATCCTTCCCACGAGGTGCCAAATTGTGAGACAATTTCATTTTAATTGACGGATTCGGCAGCAGATAATTGTGTTTTTATGTCCCTGGGAGGGTGGGCAGGCCCTGGCACAGGTTGGCCAGAGAAGCTGTGGCTGCCCCTGGATCCCTGGAAGTGTCCAAGGCCAGGCTGGAGCACCCTGGACCAGTGGAAGGTGGCCCTGCCCACGGCAGGGGGTGGGATGAGATGGTCTTTAAGTTCCCTTCCAACCCAAATCTCTCTGGGATTCCACGATTTTTAAATGTGGAAAGGAAAAGGCACCAACCAGTTTATGGCCTGGTAGAAAGCCTTTAGGAGAGGGATCAGAACAAATGAACAAATAGATGTGGCTAATATGTTTTTAATCTCATTTGCAGAACAACCAGCCTGAATTTTATACCCCCACAGCCATTATTTTTATTTCTATTTTTTTTTTTGCAAGCTTTGGTGCCAGATCCTTTTGCCGGAGAAAAGAACGGTTTTCATGTGGCAACTGCACATGCCAGGGCACAATTCCCCATCCCACATGGCCCTTCCCACCATATCCCAACCTCATCCTTCCTCAGAGACGCTCAAGGCCTCAAAATACAATTTAAACAGCGAGTTTGGACCTCACTCCCAGAAGCATCCTGAGCTCTGAGGCAGCATCAGCCTCAAGAGATGCCCTGGAAAAGGATCCTCTGGCACCAGCCTGGGTTTTCCTGCCCATCTGGCTGCAATTTGGGATGCTCCTGGGAATGGAGAGCCACGGGGAAACATCATCTGCTTGGAAAGCTGATGCATTCTGGTTATTTTTTTCTCTCCAGCTCAGCAAACCCCAGGAAAGCAAACAAACAAGCCTGTTTTGCCTTCGGGGTGGAGTGACCCACTTATGGGAACACCAGCACGGGGCACCCCCCGGTTTGGAGGTGCTGGAAAATGGAGGAAACATTAATTAGAGCAGGGATTAATTTGGGGGGTCAAAAGCAGGGAAGCCCATTGGGATTAACCGACCTGACTGTTTTTTAGGAGGAGGTGGCAGAGCAGGATCATTCCCAGCTTTGAAACACATTCCTGCCTCCTTTTTGCCATGAATCACCCAGGAGTTGGTTTCACAGCCAGGGCACGGGGTTGATGCCAGGGAGGGCCATCAGCAAGGAAAATTAGGGAGAACTGAGCCCTGCTGGGGCTCCAGAGGGGGTTTATTCCATCCCCAAAACAGCCCAAATGGGAAACCCCAGCACTGCAGCTCCACCAAAGCCACCCAAACAGCTCCTTTTATGCAAGCTCCGAGGTGAAGGTGTGGACTCCAGGAATTTGGCCTCTGGGTTTTATTTCAGTGCTCACATAATCTGACCTAATTTACCATTCCCGGGCTCGCTGGATTCGTGGGACGGGGAGAGGCGATGCCCAGTGTGTGTAATTAAACCTGCTTTGGGATTATTTCCTGGACCAAACTTATTTATTTTATTTTTTTATTTTTTTCCCATCTCCAACTTGCCTTTCTGGTTTGAAGCCCTGAGGAAACAATGGGAAGGCGCAGCACATGCTGGTGGTGCTCCCAGGGTGGACTGGTGGCACTGGGCAGAGCGGGCTGGGAGGAATCCTGGGTTTGGGAATGGGTGTCCTTTTGTTTTATGGCTTTGTTTCTAGCAGTCAGGAAAGATTAGACCCAGAAAAGAGGGGAACTGGGTGATTTTGCAGTCCCTTCCGACCCAAACCGTTCCAGGATTCCAGGATCCTGCTCTGCCACTGCCCCCTCGCACGGCCTTGGTCAAATTGTTCAGTGGTGATGGGCTTCACCACTTCTCGTGGGCAAATAAACGTGATTAAAAGAGGAAAAAGAGGCTGGAACGAGGGCTCTGCAGACGGAGCTGGGACCACTGTGCAGGCAGAGAATTAAAACCAGCTTTATCCACCCTAAAGCCAGAGCTCGGGGAGGGGGGGGGTGTGGGGGGGGGTGGGTTTAGAGTGGGAATCGAGGCCTTTTAGCAAATAATCACAGAAACACGCAGAGGAAAGGCCAGCTGGGAGGCACAGCCCGGCTTTGCCACGTCCCCCCAGCCGCAGCCGGGGCCGTTCCCCGCCATCAGCAGCGGCAGCCGCGGCCGCTCCCGTATCGGAGCATCCCGGTGCCCGCCGATAGCGGGCAGGGCGCGGTGCTCCCCCGAGATAGGGACCACCACCACCACCCCACACACGCACACCTCGCCCGGCCCCTCCGGAGCGTCCCAGGGGTGCATTCCCCTCGGGATTCCCAAAATCCCGCTCTGCGTCCTTCCTGGTTTAATCCCGGATTCCTCCGGAGCGCGCAGGGGATAAACCTTCCTCCCGTGCTACCTCGGAGCATCCCGGCCGCGGTCCGGCAGCCCCTGGGGAAGGTTTTACTCCCGCTGGTGACAGCGTGGATGACGGAACGAAAAAATTCCCCCCAGCCCCTCCCTTTTTCCCCCGGAGCGGAGCGCGGGCAGCTGGAAATAATTAACACCCAAAAACAACGCGCGCATTCCTGCCCGGCTTCCACCCTCTGCCAGCGAGGAGGTTTAGCAGGAGCTCCCAACTTTTCCCTGTTTTCCAACGTTTTTGACCCCCCAGCCCAGCCAGGGAAGGGCTCTGGGGACAAAAAACCAGGCACCTCCCAGGGCAGGGAGAGGGGAGGTCCCTGCAACCCCTACCCAGCTTTTCCAGGAGCTTATTCCCGTTATTTTCCATTATCATTGCCAGGATAAGCTTTCCCTGTCCTCCGAAGGAATCCGTGTGGGCACAAGCTGTGCTGCCACTCAGTGGCAACACACTGAAGGGGTTCCCCTTTGGCCCGAGGATTTCCAGGCAAGGAGAGGCTTTTCCTTTGTTTATTTTTAATCCAAATAATTGATTTATTCCTTATTTAATAAATGTTTGTATGTTTATTCCACCTGCTGCAGCATCACCGTATATTTATAATGACATATTCCGAAATATTGTTGTTTTTATGGCTATAAATTGCTTTTTCTGTGCTTGTGCGGTGGGTTTATATTCATATATACACGTGTGTTTTTTATATATTTATATTGGGTTTACATTTATATATTTTGTAATATTTATATATTAATATTAATATATTATTTATATTAGAAATAATTATATTAAATAAAATTAAAATTAAATAAAATAAAATAATTAATATATTATTGATATTATAAATAATTAGTATATTATTAAATATATTATATATGATAAATGATATAATAATTTATATAATATATTATATTATTAATTATATTATACATATGTATTTTCTATATATTTATATTTAATATAGGGGCTATATTTATACATTTTAAATTTATATATTTATATTTCCACGCTGGTTTTATGGCCGTAAATTCCCATTTCCACGCTTAAATCCCTGTTTTTTACCGATTTTTACTCGTTTTTTTCCCCCAGGAGCCCCTTGGCCACGCCCCCTCAGTGACCACGCCCCGGGTGTGTCCATCGAGGCCACGCCCCCGGGGAATCCCTTTCCCATTCCCGGGGTGACGTCACCGCGCTTGTGCGTCACGTCCGGCCGCGCACCCGGAAGTGGCGCCGGGGAGGTGTCGGTTGCCATGGAAGGGCCCGGGAGGTGACGTGGAGAGGGAAAAACACCGGGAATGGGGGTGGGATTGGGAATGGGGACGGGAACGGGGGCGGGAAAGGGGCTGGGAGCGGGAATGGAGGTGGGAATGGGAATGGGGGGGGTGGGAATGGGATGGGAACGGGAATGGGGGGTGGGAATGGAATTCCTTCCCGGTATCCCACCGAACCCTCATGGTGCTCCAGCGCTCTCATCATCTGGTCCTGTCTGGTCCCGTAGATCCCTGAATTCCCTGTCCTGGGGAGCCCCGAACTGACCCCACGTGCAGCAGCGCTGGGGGGAGGGGGAAGATCCCATCCCGTCCCATCCCATCCCATCCCGTGGGATCTGCCCAGGGAATCACCCCGGCGTGTCTGTCCCGCAGGGCGGAGGCGGCTCCGGGCCCGAAGGATGCGCCGTGTCCCGCCGGGCTCACGGGCTGAGTGAGCCCCGAGCGCTGCCCTGCCCTGCCCCGATCCCAGGATGGGCCGGTGAGAATCCCGCGGGACCTGCCTGGGGTGGCTCCGGAGAGAATTCAGGGCTGGGAGTTGGGGAATCCCGTGGAAATATATAGAAATAGATGGAAAAATATAGACATATATGGGAAAATATAGATATATATAAAGACACATCTATATATATGTATATGTTAACCCTGCAGTGTCAGTTAGCTGTGCTACCACAGGGGCTCTGGGAGAGGCAAAGCCCCAGCTCTGCACAGCACAGCGCTGCGTGAAGATGTGTTGGATATAACATTTTATCAGTTAAGTCAGCCTGGGGCATTTTCCTGCCAGTTAACAGCAGCCTAAAAAGCAGGAAAAAGCGATGGTGAAAACCTGGAAGAGCCGCTGTAGGAGCTGAACGAGAGGGCGGAGGCCGAGGGGTTGCAAACCAAGCAGAGCTGAAGTCGCTGCCATCCGCAGAAGGGACCCCTGAGGCTGCCAGCTCAGGAATCCCAGGGAGAACTGACAGGTTGTCCCTTTTTTTTTTTTTTTGGCACCTGCAGGCTCAGCGTGTCGTGCCTGCTGCCGGCCTCGTGGCACTTCAGCCTGGCCCCCGTGGGGTGCGGGCGGCTCCCGCTGCCCTCGCCGCGCCAGCTGCTGCTGGCGGGGGCCGCGGCCCTGGCGCTGCTCTACTGCTCCCTGCTCCTGCTGCGCTCCCGCTACGCCCGCACAGCGACCTTCCACAGGTGAGCAATCCACACCCCGTGGCCTTCCTTCCACAGGTGAGCAGTCCCCGTGGCGTGGCATCCCTCCCACGGGTGAGCGGTGCCCGCGTCCGGAGCGAGAGCGCGGGGGTTGTGCTGCGGGATGTCGTCATTTGGTTCCTGATTGTGTCGGTGCCTTTGGCTGTTTGGAGGTTGTTTCTTGGTTTGAGCGGGCTTGGAGTGAGTGTTTAGTGAGTGGAATATGGAATATATTGTATGGAATATAATATATGGAATATATTGTATGGAATATATTGTATATTGTATATTATGTGTCATAGGTAATATATAATAGATAATATCTAATAGATAAAATGTGTTTTAATGTATAATACAATAATATGTACTATATATATACTATATATTTATACTATATATAGTATATATATAGTATATATATACTATATATATACTATATATAGTGCATAAGTAATGTATATGACATAATATTAATATTATGTATTCATAGATAATACACAATAGATAATATTAATAGACAAAATATACTTTAATGTATAATATAATGCAATAATATATGCTATATATATTAATATAGTATATAAGTAATGTATATTAATATAGTATATAACTAATGTATATGACACAATGTTAATATGTATTAATAGATAATATACAATAGGTAATATATAATAGATAAAATGTGTTTTAGTGAATAACATAATACAATAATATGTGCTATATATTAATGTAGTATATAACTAATGTATATGACATAATATTAATATTATGTATTAATAGATAATATACAATAGATAATATGTAATAAAGTATGTTTTAATGTATAATATAATACAATAATATATGCTATGTATTAATGTAGTATATAAGTAATGTATATGACATAATGGTAATATTATGTATTAATAGATAATATACAATAGATAACATATAATAGATAAAATATATTTTAATGTATAATACATTAATATATGCACTATATAATGTAAGTGATGGATACTATATATTAATATTATGTGTTAACACATAATGTACGTAGATAATACATAATAGGTTAAATATATTTTAATGTATTCACACATAATACATATTTTCTCTGTAAACTCTGTGATTCCTCTGATGGAAACTGCTGCCCTGGAGTAATTCCCAGTTTTTCCCAGGTACCTTGCCCGGGTGACGGACACAGAAGCCACGGACACGGCCAACCCCAACCTGAACTATGGCATTGTGGTGGACTGTGGCAGCAGCGGCTCCAGGATCTTTGTGTACTGCTGGCCACGGCACAACGGGAACCCCCACGACCTGCTGGACATCAGGCAGATGAGGGACAAGAACAGGAAACCCGTGGTGATGAAAATCAAGCCAGGTACTGGAAAGAAATTCAGTTTATTGGGGTTTTCTACCGAGTTGCCTCTCCTGATTTCTGCTTCTCAGCCCTCACAGGGGCTGGAGGAAGGAGAGTTGCAGGTTTCTTGGGGTTTGGTTTGCTGAGGGTTTTGTTGAGCTTTCAAACCTGAAACAGGGCCGTGGGGAAGAGGTTCCTGCATGGACAGGCCACCTGCTGGTTCAGTTATCGTTTAACTTTATTCCTTTTTATTGAGTGAATTAAAAAATTGGCTTCCTGTAAAGCTGTTTGAACCAGTGATATAAATAATCACAGAAAAAGGTATTATATCTCTATTATTATGTTGTTTAGAGGATGATTAGGGGTGAGTTTCATTTCCTACAGTTGATTTCCCACATTTGACTTGGGGTTTTCACACCGAGCTTGGGCTTTTCATGGATTATACATTTCCCTGCCTACTGGTGCTCAAGATTTCCCAGAGAACGCCCCTAAACTCGAGTTGCTCTCCCTTTCCACGTGGATATTTTTTGCCCCCCAGGCATCTCCGAGTTTGCCAGCTCTCCCGAGAAGGTCAGTGATTACATCTCGCCGCTGCTGAGCTTCGCTGCCGAGCACGTGCCGCGTGCCAAGCACAAGGAGACCCCCCTGTACATCCTCTGCACCGCAGGGATGAGGATCCTGCCAGAGAGGTGGGCTCCTGCCTCATTTTTTTAGGGTTTAGGAGCAGCAATCCTGCTGGCTCTGGCTGGTTTTAACCCTTCCCCCATCGGGATTTTGCAGCCAGCAAAAGGCCATACTCGAAGACCTGCTGACGGATATCCCCGTGCAGTTCGACTTCCTGTTCTCTGACTCGCATGCAGAGGTGATTTCAGGCAAGCAGGAAGGTAAGTGAGCTTTCCCAAGGTTGCCTTTGAAATCTTTACTGCTTTCAAGGTACAACTTGAATAGTTTGGTTGCTTTTTTTCAATTTTGCTTTGCTTGGGAGGCCTTTTTTCCTCAGTAGCAACATATGGAGCGTGGAGCTGCTCAGCTGCTGGGCTCTTCTGACTTGTCTAAATGTTTTCTGATGAACAGTGAAAATAACTTGGCTGGGCTTAGCAGGAATTTAATCCGTTTTTCTCAGGGAGGGAGAAGGAGAAAGCACAAAATTCTTGATGGAAAAAGCTTTGCAGGGTGGAATGATTTCTATGGGAGAGATATTGATGAGAGAGATTTAAGCTCACTGAGAGCTTAAAATCACTTTAAAAGCCAACATGTTTAATTTCTTTTAAAACTGAGACATCAGACTATCTTAGACACATTCAATTAAGATTATTATCACAGCCTTGGAGAGAAGGCTCAGAGTAACCTGTCAGGAATTAAAGATTTCTCAGGAATGTTTAACTTCTAGGTGTTGTATAAAATAAAATGTGAGCAGCAATATAACTTATATAGGGAAAAAAACCTCTTTGCTTTTAAGTTGATATTCCAGCTATTCCTGTAATATCCTGACACCTTTCCTTGTACATGCAGGAGTCTATGCCTGGATTGGCATCAACTTTGTCCTGGGAAGGTTTGAACACACAGATGATGGTGAGTGTCTGAACTGTGAGGGGGGGTGGAGTTTGGGGGGGGACTTGAGGTCAAGCCCTGTGCTTTAGGGGGTGATCTTTTGGCCAGGGGTTGGGGACTGGGGTGTTTTCAGACAGGTGGTGATTTTTGAGGCAGCTGTTTGTCCCTGGGGTGTTCCCAGCCAGCTGTTTGTCCCCGCTCCACGTGCGGGTGCCGCGTCGCCGCCGTTCCCACACGCGCATCTTCCCCGCCCTCCCTCCGAGCGGCTGCCCAGCAGCAGCTCCATCTTTAGCCCCTCCCCAGCTGTTTTCTCCCTGTTCCCTGCAGAGGAGGAGGCCATGGTGGAGGTGCACATCCCGGGCAGCGAGCACCAGGAGTCCATATTCCGTAAGAGGACTGTGGGTATCCTGGACATGGGCGGAGTGTCCACCCAGATCGCGTACGAAGTCCCTAAAACTGTAAGCTTTGCCTCCTCACAGCAGGTTATTATCTGTGCAACTTTCCTCTTTGCCTTTGGAGTTATTTTAATGCATATTCCTCTTTTGTTTTCTTCGTTTTTTGAGTCCTCCATCCCATCCCATTCCCAAAGGGAATCCCAGAGGCCGTGACAGGAGTCCTGCACCAGCTAAGAACTCATTTGTGTTTTGTTCACCCTTCCATTCCCATAATCTGCCACTAATTTGGGAGTTTTATTCTTTGTGTGTGTGTGTGTGTGCATGCTTAGTTTTAAATCTGTTAGGCAGTAAAAAACTGTTATTCTGGAGCTCAGGAACCAAAAATAATGTGGTGGCTCTTATGTAAAACTTACATAAGAGTGACTTTGTCCTTCAGGTTGTGTTGGGAGAAACTGAATTATCAGGACCTGGGGGTGACAGGTTTGTTTAAATATCACCTACACCCTCAGCACAGTTCAGCTCTTGCAGGAGGCAAATTGCTTTGTTACAAGTCTTAAATAGAGTGTGAATTGCTCCAGCTCTGCTGAGTTCCAAGAAATTCCTGAATTTTTGAGGTTGAACCTCCCGTTAAATGAATTGAGAGTTAAAAAGTGACAGCAGCATAAAAGCCCCATGTTTTGGCTCTCAGTGCACTGTTGTAATGATCTGTATATTGATTTTTGTAAGTCTCCCTGTGAAATGATTCATGTTTACAGGTTTTAATAACTACAGAGAGGTGGTGTAACAAAGGACTGGGGCTGTTGAATATTTAGATCCAGAGCAGATTGCCCCAGTCAGAGATGAACTGGCTCTGTCTGAACATAAACTGCTATAAAATGGGTGTTCTGGTCCTTAAACCTGTCCTGGCAATCAATGCAAAGGGGGACTCACTCCGGGGTGGGAACACTGAGTTTAGTGGCCACACCACACATTTTTTTCACGGGATAAGATACTTCAGGGTCTGTGGGAGCTGTTGCTGCTCTTTGGGGTTCCTTGAGTGTCAGGAGTGCCAGCTCTCTGCAATTCACATTTTGCTTTCCCTGTGAAGCAGAGGGTTTTGTGCAAATGATGTGGGAGATGATCAGCCCTGAGGAAAAGCCTGGGAATACTGGGGTTGTGAAGGGTTGTCCAGCCTTGGGGCAGTCCCCGTGCCTGGAAGGGTTAAAAAATGTGTGGATGTGGCACAGTGGGGACAATGCTTAGTGGTGAACATGGTTGATGATCTTAAAGGTCTTTTCCCACCTTAATTCCCTGGGATTCCATGCTGACCTGTGAGGAGCAGAACAGATGAGTGAGGGGTGAAGTTAAAAGGTGTCCAGGACACCCAGTTGTCCAGAGAACTCCTTTTAGGTCCTGGCTTTCGTCCTGTCCACCCCTAATCTTGGCGCTTGTGTTGCTGCAGGAGGAGGTGGCCAAGAACCTCCTGGCAGAATTCAACCTGGGCTGTGATGCCCACCAGACCGAGCACGTGTACAGGGTCTACGTGGCCACATTCCTTGGGTTTGGAGGGAATGCAGCCCGGCAGAGATACGAGGACAGCCTGTTTGCCAGCATGGTGCTTAAAAACAGGTACCTGGGGGGGATTGACCCAGAGGAGCTGTGGCTGCCCCATCCCTGGAAGCGTCCAAGGCCAGCTTGGAGCAACCTGGGCTAATGGAAGTGGGCAGGGGGTGGCACTGGATGATTTTAAGGTCCCTCCCAACCCAAACCATCCTGGGATGAGGGTTCTGTGCTGTCACCCCCTCAGTGACACAACGCTGAGGTGTTGTCACTGATGGGGGGGTTTGGTTGGTGCTGTTGGGTCTCAGAGCTCCACCTTTCTGACCTGCTCTTTGCCCTTTTCCACAGACTGCTGGGCAGACAGACTGGCCTGAGCTCGGAGTCCCCGTTGCTGGATCCCTGCCTGCCCCTGGATGCTCAGGATGAGATCCAGCAGAATGGGCAGACCCTGCACTTGCGGGGAACGGGGGATTTCCATCTGTGCCGGGAGCTGATCCAGCCCTTCATGAACAAGACCAACGAGACCCAGACCTCCCTGAACGGGGTCTACCAGCCCGCTGTGCACTTCCAGAACAGCGAATTCTATGGGTTCTCCGAGTTCTACTACTGCACAGAGGACGTGTTGAGGATGGGAGGAGATTACAATGCTGCTAAATTCGCTAAAGCTGCCAAGGTACAATGTGCTTGGTGGCATTTTCACCTTTTGGAGGCCAGAAGCATTGTTGAAATGTTTATTTTCTTCACCTTTTTTTTTTTTTGTTTTATTTGTTTCCCCCGCAGGATTATTGTGCCACTAAGTGGTCTGTCCTCCGGGAGCGCTTCGACCGTGGTCTCTACGCCTCTCACGCCGATCTGCACAGGCTGAAGTGAGTGTTTGTGTTTGCCCAGCCAAAATCCCTCCTGCAGAGCTGCCGGGCCAGCCATTCAGGGCGATAAATCACCTCAAGTGGCGATAATGCCTTCAAAAAGCCCTGATAATTGCGGGGCTGATTGTGCTCCCCGGTGCCCTGGGGCGGTGTAACTGCTGGCCTGAGCTTATCCCGCTGTTCCCGACCTCATCCCGCTGTTCCGACCTCATCCCGCTGTTCCCGACCTCATCCCGCTGTTCCCGACCTCATCCCCCTCTCCCTGCTGCAGGTACCAGTGCTTCAAGTCAGCCTGGATGTATGAGGTGTTCCACAGTGGCTTCTCCTTCCCTGTGAGTTACAGCAACCTGAAAACAGCCCTGCAGGTTTATGACAAGGAGGTGCAGTGGACCCTGGGGGCCATTCTGTACCGAACACGCTTCCTCCCCTTAAGGTACCTCTTCCTTCCCTCCAATGCCTGGGAAGAGCCCTTTGGGTGGGAGTTCTGGGGTCGGGAAGAGCATGGTGGTACCTCAAATGGTGCTTTATAAACCCTGTTTTGTTAAAATGGGCTCTGATTCCCGTGGTGAGAGAAGTTCTACGTGGAATTTCACCCTCACCCACCCGAGTTATTCCCGTTTGTCCCTTTGCTGCTTTCCAGAGACATCCAGCAGGAAAACTTCCGTGGAAGTCACTCCCACTGGAGGAGCTTCTCCTTTGTTTACAACCACTACCTGTTCTTTGCCTGTTTCCTGGTCGTCCTGCTCTCCATCCTGCTCTACCTGCTCCGGCTCCGGCGCATCCACAGGCGGATGCTCCGCAACGGCTCCTCTCCCTCCCTCTGGATCGAGGAAGGCCTCCCCCCACAGAAGATGGCAGGGCCCTTATGAGGTGCTGGGATGGAGAGAGGCTGTTTTGTTTTGTTTTGTTTTGTTTTGTTTTTTTTCCTCGGACTTGTTACAAAAAGAAGCCATTTTTTGCCTCAGGGTTCCTCCCTTTTTTTTGTCCCTCGAAACCATGGGAGAAGCGGAAGGCCCAGTGTGGGAAAACGGGGCCACGTGGCTTGGGCTCAGCAGACAATCCCTGCCAAAAACCACTCGGATTTGACTATTGCACTTTTGTGTGTGGTGGGACGAGCTCAGGCTTGTTGTCAGCACCTGAAGAGCAGCAGCTGCAGCTCCAGGGCAGAGTGAATGTGAGTCCTCCCCCTCCCGGGTGAGGAAATCCCAGGATGAGCGAGGACTTTTCCAGGCTTGGCTTCTCAATCCTGAGTCTCAGTCGAAGAAAAGGAAGTGCAGGGTTTTCAGGAGCAGAAAGAAAACCCCCTTTTAGGACAATTTCCTCTGATTTTTTCCCCTTCTGGGTTCAGTCCTGTGATGGAGAAGGAAAGCCTCTCGCACCCAAAGCTGTGCTTCCAAAAAAAAAAACACCAAAAAACTGCTTCAATCAGTTCTGTTCCATTGTGACAGTTCCCCCTCCTTGTCTTGGAAGCTTTATCCTCATGGTGGCACGAGCCACTGCTTTTTAATCCTTTATTTCTGTTCCTTAATCATGCAGAAATCTCCCAGAGACTCCAGGAAGGGGAAAGAGAACTGGAAAAACCTTTCGTTCTGTGCACAGTGTCTTTCTTTTTCTGAGTCCTCTGATCTGTTAATTTATATTTTATTTAAAAACCGTTGATTTTACTTGAAAGCAAATTTGTCCCTGATTAAAAGTGGGATTTATATGAGCCTTTGGTGTGGGGGTATTTTATTGCACAGTGTCACTTTTGCATCCAACTCCCTTCTCTGTAACAGGTGGGAATATGCTGGAAAATGTGATATTTTTATTATTAGAGAACTAGGTATGTTGATATATATTTTATCATACTTAACCTGTAAATCTGGATACTTTGAACTGGTTTATTCTCCTTTCAACAGGCTTTTGGAAATTTAGGCTTGAGCTGAACTGCCCTTAAATTTGGGTGTTAAACTCCCTGCTCTTTCCATGCAGTGTCTGTGTGGGAGCCAGAAGGGTGACCTGGATTTGTGGTGGAATTTTGGAGTGGAATCTTTAACTGAAGGTTCGGGGCTGACAAAAGAGCACCTTCCTTTTGTAAGGGATGTTTTTGTAGCTGGAAAACCAAAGCATTTGTAGGATGGGGCAGGGGATCTGGGAGAGGAGGACTAAGTTTGTGGCATCTCCTGAGGAGAAAACAAACCCCCTATTATCCTTGGAGCTCTTTTTTTGGGCTCTTACACGTGTCCCTCTGCTCTTTGTTGGGGTGGTTTTGTGTGGGGGAAGCCTTGAGCAGGGGCACCTCGTCCTGGTCCCATTGTTTGGGCCATTGTTGCTACCAAATAACGCATGAAGCTGATTGAGGGCTGGGCTGATCCTGGGGAGGACCTTGCTGTGTCCCTGTCCCCAGGGTGGCTGTGCAGGGACCTGCTCCTGGGGCAGGCTGGAAGCGGTGCTGGGGATTTTTTGGGACTGGGTTAGTGGTGTCTTCATAAATACTGGGTGATCCTTCCTAAATGCTTCCTAAATACTCGTGGATCCTTCCCAAATACTGGGTGATGCTTCCCAAATGCTTTCTAAACACTGGGTGATCCCACCAACGTGAAAGGTGTGAATGAAATGGTGGGATCAGGCACAAGAGGCCGTGAAGCATCTTCTAGGTGGCTGTTTCCCCCCTGCTGCATCCCACCTCACAATCCCAGGAGATTTAGGGTTGGGAGGGCCCTCTGGGGATCGCCCAGCCCAACCCCCCTGCCCAGGTGACACAGGGACATGTCCAGGTGGGGTTGGGGTGTCTCCAGAGAGGGGAGACTCCACACCCTCCCCGGGCAGCTGTTCCACCTTCATGGAGAGAAGTTCTGCCTCCTGGTGAGGTGGAACTCGTGGGGGTTCACATTTATGGGCGTCACTCCTTGTGCTGTCACTGGGCAGAGTCTGGGACCATCCCCTGACACCCCCTGGAGATGCTGATGTGGATTGATGGGAGACATTTGTATGGCTGTTTGAGATGTTTCCGTGGATTGATGGGATCCCCTCTCAGATGAGACATTTCTGTGGATTGATTCAAGGACTCAGGTTCAGTTCCTCCTCTCTTCTTCCCTTTCTCTTGGATGTGGCTTTCCCAAAGTAAATCCTGAGGGAGTGGAGGGGAGGCCAGATCCCTGCAGGGCCTGAAGCCCTTTCCCTGGCTCTGGATCCCTGGCAGAGCTGGGCTTTAGGAGGGGGACTCTTGCCATCTAGTGGGAAAGGATGGGACCTCCAGGACCTCTGTTATCCCTCAGGATAAGGCAAAATGCCACCCTCTCTCCCAGATTTTTAGTGCTTGATGCAGGATTAGCTCCTCCTGCTTTCCCCCAGTGTTGTCACTGCCTCCAGCTGCCTTTCTCCCTCTTTTCCTTCCTGAAAATCCCACTCTTTTCGTATTTTTAGGAGCAAAACTCAGTTTCCATTGTTGTGTGCTCGTCTCCTGGATGGCTGAGCTGCACAGAGGGAATCTGTCAGGAATCTTCCCTGGAGGGTTGAGGAGGGAAATACAAGGAAGGTTATGAGCCTTTCAGGAGGTGGGGTTAATGAGAGGGTTCCCAGAAAAGCTATGGCTGCCCCATCCCTGGAAATGGGATGTCCAAGGCCAGGTTGGAGCAACCTGGGCTAGTGGAAGGTGTCCCTTCCCGTGGCAGAGGCTGGAATTAGATGAGCTTTAAGGTCCCTTCCAACCCAAACCATTCCATGATTTTTAAGTTGTAGAAATTCCCACGAGGATTAAACACAGGTAAATCAGTTTATTGCTTTTGTTTGTTTGTTTTGAGGGAACCACGGACCTACTCCTCCAAAATTCCTGGGGCTTTTTAACCACCTGGGCCTCTGGAATTCCACATTGCAGGAGCTTCCCACTGGAGCCAAGTGGTGTGAGAAGTGCCACGTGCCAGTGACACCTTTCCAGAGCCCTGGGGGGGTCCTTCCTGCAGCTCTAGGGGTGTCACCAGGTTATCCCCTGGCATCACCAGGTTATCTCTGCATGGAACAACTTTTATGGATCTTGGCTTATCCACTCCAGACCCTTCGAAAGGTCAGGTCATCCCTGTGGCTCCAGAGAGTCTCCAGGGTGCAAACACGAGGTCTGGGCAGGCAATGAGCCTTCCCCTCTTGAAAGGAGTGCAAATTGGAGGGGGGAGATTATGGAAGCAAACAGGCTGTACCTCATTTTGGGGAGCACGGAGCGTGACTGGGGCTCCTGGGTCAGAGCCGGTCGGGACTTGCCCCCGTGGCAAAAGGTGTGTCCTCCAGGCAGAGATGCAGAAGAAACCAGGTGGGAAGGGATGTGACCTGGAATGTGTGTGGGCAGGAGGTGGGTCCAGCTGGAGCTGGGACCTGGACAGGGATTTGGGGGGGAAATAACCCCGTGTGGAGTCACTAGGGGCTGAAAACGGGGGGCCTGCTGTCATGATTCAGGCTCAGGGACATGCCAAGTGGCTCCCCTGGCTGCCTGTCTGTGTGGTCAGACAGTGCCCATCCAGCCTGGGCAGCACTTTATCCCCTGTGTGGCTTTTTCTCTGCGATTTTGAGAAGTTTTCCAGTGCATTCTTTTTTGTATTTTTTCCCCCTTCGGTCTTAACCAGCTGCAGGATGAAGGGGGCAGCAAATCCAGCCTTTTTACCTCGAGGAGCTTCGCTGGATTCCTGCTGAATGTCTCACTTTATGCAAGCAGGGAGCTCTTCCATCAGCTGGAAGCCTCCACGGCATTATCCTCACCCGACCCGGGCCCTCAGCTCAGCATTCCTGGGCCGGGCTCTCCTGTAGCTCCATGCCCTGCCCAGCAGACACTCACACATTCCTTCCCCTGGCCCAGCTCCTTCCAGCTTCCTGTCAGTCTGGGATGGCTCTAGGGAGCTTTTCTGGGACACCTTTTTTGCCCCCCATGATGTCCCTGAGCCAGGTGAGTCCGGCTAGATCCGCCCTCTGGAAGCTGCTCAGGATGCTGATTCCAGGTGTTCCTCCTCTTTCCCAAGCATTCCTGGTGCTGGAAGGGACTCTTAAATCCCATCCATTTCCACCCCCTGGAAGCCCAGAGTGGTTTGGGTGGGAAGAGACCTTAAAATCAAGTCATTCCAGCCCCTTCCACACCTCCCACTGGCCCAGGTTGCTCCAAGCTGGCCTTGGACACTTCCAGGGATGGGGCAGCCACAGCTTCTTTGGGAATTCCATCCCAGCCCCCTTGGAATTCCTTCCACATATCCAATCTATTCCCTTTAATGCTGGTGCATCTGCCCCATCAGGGCCAGAGCAGCTGGAACTCGGAGCAAAACCTGCTTTTCCTGGGGCTGGGAAGGTGGAGTTGGGCTCTGAGCAGGAAGCAGGAATTCCCTGGCGTGGGTGAATTGTGGTTGGGAAGGGATGGAAAAGCTGGGAGAGGTCTGACAATCCTCTTCTTGCAGGATTTGGTGTTGCAGCGCTGGAAATGCATCCAGAGATGTGCATTCAGCCCTGGAATTTTTCAGCAGAATTAACAGAGCTGAGGTGAGATTGGTGTGCAGGACTAACCCAGAAGGGTATTTTTAGGCAGCAGCCTTGTGCTAGGGAAGGGCTTGCTAGAAAATCCCACAAAAATAGGAATACACTGGAACAAATGGGGATATTCCTTCCAAAGTTACCTTTTGGGAACGCTGTTCTTTCCATGCCCATCGACTCCCTGCTGAAGGTGGATTCAAACACCCAAGGTGAGAGAAGTTGGGGCAATACTTGGGAATTTGGGAAATGCTGACGCTTCAGGTTGTGCAAAACTGGGTGAGAAGACAAAATGTCAAGGTTTTCTCTGTGCCAGAGACTCCAAACCTGCCCTTTCCCTGTGATTTTCACACAGCAAATGGAAGTGAGTGGAATTGTTAGGACACATCCAAATCCTGGTTGAGCAGGATAGTGCTGAAAAAAGAAAACCTCCTCTAGCTGAAAAGGTTGCAGAAGTTTACAGAACGATTCCTAAGTGGCTCAGCTGCTGTTGGTTGGTGGAAGAACTGATGGAACCAGCTCAGAGCTTCCCTGCTCCCTGTTCCCAACCACAGATCCCGGGAATTCTCTGGCAGGGGACTTTGGGGGGGTGGTTTTTCCATGAGAAGTTATTTTTAACTGTGTGGTTGGTGCTCAGGAAGTCAAGGAGCAGAGAGCAACTGCAGGTCCAGGTGGTTTTTGGGTGCTTTGGAGTTTTAGGAATACTGAGCAGCTGGAAAAAGGATGCTGAGGGGTTAAAGGTGGAGACACCTTGGATAGCTGGGAATGGGCTGCTGCAAACTCCCCAAACCCTAAAAAAGGGTGTAAATCTGAAGACGCTGTGTAGATTTTTAGCACGAAATCATCTTGGGGGTGCTTAAATAATAATGCAAACAATGATGTCACCAGAGTGGGGTTCACCAGCGGTGGCGATAAAATCCCCAATTATCCCTTTCCTAGGAGCATCCTGGGGAAAACATTAACATTCCCAACTCCCTTTCCCGGCAGCTCTGCCTGGATTTGCTCCCCCCTCCTCCCCTTTATCCCTGCTCTGCCTGCGCTCGGATTTCAGGACGAGCCCGTGATTTCACCGCTGGAGCCGCTGGAGGGGCCGGCTCTTGGGAGGGGTTTGCTCGAGTAACTGCGCTCAAATTGGCCAGGAAGAGGCAGCTCCTCGCAGCATTTTTCCCTGGCTGCGGGATATTTTCCAGCGCAGAGGGGACCACCGAGCCCGGCGGGGAGAGCTCCATA